CAATATACGTGGTTTAATCGAACGAAAGAATAGCAAGTTTCCCCTTATATTTCAAATCTAATCAATGCCTCATGCACGCCATGTGTCATCTGAATCTGATATATTTGTTATGAGAAATAACTTTGCAGGCAAAGTAAATGCTAGGAGAAATGAAAAGGCCAGAGTCATTTTTATCTGACAAAGCTGAAATATTATCCACAGACGACACAAAACAATGGAAGAGTCATGCATTGTCTTTGCTTTTGTTCACATACCAAGGGCTGAAGTATCACGGGATATCGCGGGAGATCCGCGTTAACATTTAAAGGTAATTTCCGATTGAGCCGACATATACAGCGCTTACCACGAACGCAGTCACCGCGAACATTGACTTTTAATTTAAATCGAGCTATAATGCGGATCTTCCGCGATACTTCTGCGATACGGATTGAATCCAGCCTCAAGTCTTTGAGTCAAGCATGAGCATGACTTATGTGAGGAACCCATGTAGTCATAACAGTGCATGACACATTGATTAAAGGTCCAATGCAGCCATTTTTATCTCAATATCAAATCATTTCTGGGTAACAATTAAATACCTTACTGTAATTGTTTTTAATTAAAATGGTTAAAAAATAAGAAGCTTAGCTTAGTATTTGTTTGAAAATAAAATGGCACTTTGACATAACACATTGTGTCAGTTGGCACGTAGAAGTGTGTTAGGGTATGTGGAAATCCTTTGAACGTATTTTTAACAGAATGTCAGATGTTATAAACACAGTATAAAGGTCACATACCCCTCACAGAGTGTTACTTTGAGTTGTTTAGCATGAGCTACATCAAAGCTACTCAAATCAGAGGTTTACGGTCCTGTAGAAGGGGTTTGCGTGTGCACTAAAAATGCCAACATTTGTATTTTTGCAGGGACGGAGGGGGGGAGCATTTCTGGGTGAAGTAATACTGCCCTATTACACTGTCTCTTAAATATTGTCTAAATCTGAAGACAGATCTTTTTATAATATTTTTCCCTTTGTAAAACAAAATAACAGTGGACAATCATAAAATAAAACATAGTGCTGTATATGGTAAGAAAATAAAGTTATAATATAATTTAAGTTTTTACTTATTTACACATTTAAAATGTCCTCATATATTCATACTTTATCACTATCCAAACCTTAGGCTCCAGCTAAAACAGTATGCATTAACAATAACCTACATTAAATACCACACACTTCTTTTTAATTGGTAAAAGGGGAAACCTTATTTTAATGGCTGACATACTGTCCTCTGTTTGACCTAAAACCAGTTTTGTGGTTTCCCCACTCTATTCTCTCTGGTGAAGTTGATTTAGAATAAGCTGAAACATATAGCTTTAAAGCAATCTAAAATAGTGTTCTATGACATTGCTTGCACAACAACTATTTTATTAATCTACAGTACCAGTCAAAAGTCTGGACACACCTACTCATTCAAGGATTTTTCTTTATTTTTTACTATTTTCTACATTGTAGAATAATAGTGTAGACAACAAGACTATGAAATAACACATATGGAATAATGTAATAACCAAAAAAGTGTTAAACAAATCTAAATGTATTTTATGTTATAGATTCTTCAAAGTAGCCACCCTTTGCCTTGATGACAGCTTTGCACACTATTGGCATTCTCTCAACCAGCTTCATGAGGTGGTCACCTGGAATGCTTTTCCAACAGTCTTGAAGGAGTTCCCACATATGCTAAGCACTTGTTGGCTGCTTTTCCTTCACTCTGCGGTCCAACTCATTCCAAACCATCTCAATTGGGTTGAGGTCGGGTGATTGTGGAGGCTAGGTCATCTAATGCAGCACTCTCCTTCTTGGTCAAATAGCCCTTACACAGCCTGGAGGTGTGTTTTGGCTCATTGTCCCGTTGAAAAAGAAATGATAATCCCATTAAGCGCAAACCAGATGGTATGGCGTATCGCTGCAGAATGCTGTGGTATCCATGCTGGTTAAGTGTGCCTTGAATTCTAAATAAATCACAGACACATTTACATCACACCTCCTCCATGCTTCTCGGTGGGAACCACACATGCAGAGATCATCCGTTCACCTACTCTGCGTCTCACAAAGACACGTGGTTTGAACCAAAAATCTAAAATTTGGACTCAGAACAAAGGACAGATTTCAACCGGTCTAATGTCCATTGCTCGTGTTTTTTTGCCCAAGCAAGTCTCTTCTTCTTATTGGTGTCCTTTAGTAGTGGTTTCTTTGCAGCAATTCGACCATGAAGGCCTGATTCACGTAGTCTCCTCTGAACAGTTGATGTTGAGATGTGTTACTTGAACTATTTGGGCTGCAATCTGAGGTGCAGTTAATTGCCGATTTCTGAGGCTGGTAACTCTAATGAACTTTTCCTCTGCAGCAGAGGTAACTCTGGGTCTTCCTTTCCTGTGGCGGTCCTCATGAGTGCCAGTTTCATCATAGCGCTTGATGGTTTCTGCGACTGCAATTCAACAAACTTTCAAAGTTCTTGACATTTTTGTGATTGACTGACCATGTCTTAAAGTAATGATGGACTGTCATATCTCTTTGCTTATTTGAGCTGTTCTTGCCATAATATGGACTTGGTCTTTTACCAAATAGAGCTATCTTCTGTATACCAACCCTACCTTGTCACAACACAACTGATTGGCTCAAACACATTAAGGAAAGAAATCCCACAAATTAACTTTTAACAATGCACACCTGTTAATTGAAATGCATTATAGGTGACTACCTCATGAAGCTTGTTGAGAGAATGCCAAGATTGTGCAAAGCTGTCATCAAGGCAAAGGGTGGCTACTTTGAAGAATCTAAAATCTAAAATATATTTTGATATTTTTAACACTTTTCTTTGTTACTACATGATTCCATATGTGTTATTTCATAGTTTTGATGTCTTAACTATTATTCTACAATGTAGAAAATAGTAAAAATAAAGAAAAACCCTTGAATGAGTAGGTGTCCAAACTTTTGACTGGTACTGTATGTCCCTGGAATTATATTGAAAATAGATATCTAATAGATGGAAGTTGCCTAATGGGTAACACTTTATTATGATAGTCTGTAGAGCATCTACAGATGGACTATCTACAGACTATCAACAACATTTCAACTAACTATCTACTAACCCTTGCCCTAACCCTAACCTTAACCCTCATCCTAACCCTAAACCTAACCCTTAACCCACCCCTAACTCTAACCTTAACCCTTAAACGTATTCTAAACCTTACCCTAACCGTAACTTTAGCAAGGAGTTGCTTATCAACAGATAGTTTGTTGATAGTATGACCATCTGTACATTATCTACAGATGGACTATCCAAATAAAGTGTGACCGCTTAATGCACCATTGAGACATACATAATACCTTATACACATTATACATACAGCATTTCTCAATATCTACATGTGATTTGACAATATCTTATCATGGCAATTGACTATTTTGGTTGTTTCGATCAAAGCTATTTGATGAGATCACCTAAGAACTACCGTGTCACCTTTCAACCTTAATTATTTGGAATGCATCAGTAGTTGCACAGCGTCGACGGAAAACATCCCATGCTTGAAATTCTACATGTATCAAAGACTAATACCTTACTCACTTATACCAATCTGCATGACACACAAATGTAAACAAAAGTCTTACACAGAAAAATCTAAAGATTCATACTGTACATTTAACATGCAACTTTGCATTAACAGAATTGTACATTTAAGAACAACGTTTGTGCAGGCAACACATCCAACAAGAGCAATGCTGTTAGCCAAATAAGTGTAGGTGAATGAAATATACTGTACATTAGTTTGTAGAAAGAACGGCCAACACAATTGACTTTCATGACATATTTACATTGTGTCCCCCAATTACAGCATGAAGACAGACCCTTCCATCTCGAGACTGCCATTATGAGTCTATGACTCGTCATAGAGCTCTTCACTTTCCTCCAAAGTAGTCTATGAGGTTGGCTCTGCTGAAACGCAACAGTAGGGTAGTACAGTTGAGAGGTGTCATGCAAATTATTGACATTGTTCATAAATATATCACAAGTTTAGTCCTAGTTGAACATCCATGTTTTAAACATAAATGGATAATGATTGTTGGGAGTACAGTTCAAGGAGCACTGAAGTATTGGTCAGTTGTGGAAGTTCCTCTGATAAGTTCGGCCTCAGCGCATTCTTTATCGACAACTGAGTGAGATGCTGTCCAACACATGAAGAGAATGAGTTGGCATATGTGTTTACATTCTCAAATCACTCTCAAATCATTGCTACAATGCACTTCCAAAGTTAATCATTATCAAGAATACACTGTAAAAAAAAACACATTGTTTTTACGGTAACTTACTGGCAGACAGTTTTCCTTTACTTTAGTCACCTGCTCTGTCACCAAACATATTTGCATCCCAATTCTACAAAAATATATATTACATAGCCAAGTAAACTCTCAAACCAGATATTAACCACTGAATGAAGAGTTGCATTTTTCAAAGAAGAGTTTTTATTCTACCTGTTATCCCACTCTTTCAGCAAAAGGGACCTATTCCACGTATGCATCTCATATGAAATACAATTGTACATTTTATTATCATGGGCATAGTATACGCCTGTAACAAGTCATACAAAATGTTCACATTTTACCTTTATGTATTAGATGGTGCAGTGACGTTAGAGGAGTTATACATCAATGTTCAAACCTCTAACAAAGAGAAGACAATGGAGCCGTCAGATGGCTGGACACAAGTGTAATGCTGCAGCAATGTTGTGAAAGTGTTACCACCCAGACCTGTCACATAACCCAACAGTACTCCCAAGGGTGGACAGGTAGATGGACAGGGTTTGATATAGCAGTAACATTACAGGGATGTTATGAAAATGTTTACAACCCTGACAGCCACCAGGTCCCTTATCAGGGGACAGGTGGATGAATTGGGGTGGTGGATGTTGCAGTAACATTACTGGGTGGTTGTAAATGCGTTTTGATAACCCAGAGCGGTCACACGATGGAGCCCTTTGCGGAGGAGAGGTGGATGGAGTGGATGCGGGTGGCTAGAGTTTTCTCCAGGTCATGGAGAACGTCGGAGATGGGGCTGGGGCAGGGTCCGGGGCTCACTGTAGCAGGCATCTCGTACAGCAGTTGTTTGAAAGCCTCCACCTCAATCAGCAGCACCATGTTCTTCAGGAAGTAGCCTTCGATAAAGGCCGCCAGCTCACTGGCACAGAGGAACTAAACAGGGCATAAGGATACAGTCAAAACCTTAACTCACTCTGTCACAATGCACTCTCTGTCACTGATGGTTTTTTTTTTTATGTCTGATACATACACATTGTATCATGCATGGTTATCTTTGCATACTTATGTTATATCCTCTTTTACTGTACACTCTTAGAAAAAAGGGTTTCAAAATCTTTGCGGAGGGATAGGGTTCTACCAAGAACCATTTTCATCTGAAGAATCCTTTTTGGAAGAAAATGATTCTTTGTAAGGCAAAGAATTCTACCTAGAACATCTTTCATCCTAAGAACTGTTTTTGGAAGAAAGGGTCCTCTGATGATTATTGGAAGGCAAGAAGGGTTCTATATAGAGCTCTTCTGGATCTGAATAAGCTTTTTATTGCTAATGTTTTTCTTTCCTTTAAGTAGTAAGCATTAGTATTTACCTCAGTGTTTAAACTTGAACTTCAGGAGTTTAAAATAATCTGATGAGTTAGATGTGAGAATGTTTTAAATTGAACTTATATGGGAGTATACAAAACATTAAGGACACCTTCTCTTTCCATGACATAGACTAGTGATGTCACTTGTTAAATCCACTTCAAATCAGTGTAGATGAAGGGGAGGAGAAAGGTTAAAGAATGTTTTTTAAGCCTTGAGACATGAATTGTGTATATGTGCCATTCAGAGGGTGAATGTGCAGGACAAAATATTTAAGTGCCTTTGAACGGGGTATGCTAGTAGGTTCCAGGCACACCTGTTTGAGTGTCGTTTTTACTCTGTATGGCGTGAAACACAAAAAACCACGCCCATCATTCTCATATTTCCCAGCATGCTCTATTGCAGGGTGATTTTCATAATAGTTTTTTTTCAATATCTATGTTTTTGCATGTACATTGATTGGTTGATTAATCTTATGCTACACAAAAGACAAATAACATACATTTTTCTAAACTAATCCAATCTTTTAGTAGCTGGACTTATTGCACCCGTTACTGAGATGGTTGTTTCAATTTAAATGATATAGGTCATCCCGTTAATTCATTGTACCACTTTTGATGATTTGCTGTATTTCTTCCATCCAGAGGAAGCAGGCCCTTTGTGTCACTTGACGAGGGACATGATCTGTGACATGCTTTGCTCTCTGGAGCAGGGCACCTTTGAAAGGAATGATTACTGTGGTGGCGTTGAGGTGGATCTACTGAAATTGAAATGTCCCTGTGTCTGTGAAGCCGGCCGTTTGGTGCGACGAAGACCTGGTGGCGACAGTGGTGAAACTGAGACGACGTTGACTTTTCTTTTGAGTTTTGAAGCAGAGTCTTTACCTGATAAAGTCATGTTAGGATATGTAAGTTATCCCGTGAGAGCTTTTGTGCAGAACCCACTAAGGTGTGTCAGATGCCAAGCTTTATTGCAGCAGTGTGTAGGAGGGAGTTTCCGAGATGTGAGAAGTGTGCAGGAGGGCATGGGACAAAGGAATGTGTGTGTCAATTGTGGGGGTGCCCATGTTGCTGGGGATCAGAAGTGTCTGGTGTGAGAGAGACAGGTTGAGATTGCCAGGGTCAGAGTAGAACAGAAGGTGTCATATGCTGAGGCAGTAAAGAGAGTAGAGGATGATGGGTCAAGGGTGAGTAGTAGGCCTAGGACAATACAGAGTGATACGAATGTGTGCTTCAGTAAGGTTGGCTTCTTAGCATTCATTGCCATGGTTACCAACTGTACTGCAGAAATGGAATGTAAATCACTGAAAATAGATGTTGTGGTGGCAGCTGCAGAGAAGTACTTGGTTGTACAAGGTTTTACTGCAGAAGAGTGGTGTGTTGAACGAGTCCCAGTCCTCCCAGGCCGTTGGCCTGGTGTAAGATCAGTTAGGGTCAAAGTAGTGGAATGGGGTGGTGATATTTATTTTTATGAAAAAAGTTGTACATAGGTGTAGGGTTAGTTGTTTGTGCAATTCTTTACTTTTAGGAACAGGAATAATTAAGAGAATTGAATGTAGGTAGGCTGTGACTGGCCTCACACTTCAATAAAGTAGGTGGCGGTGTATGCACCTTAAAGTTGGATGCGATCCACTAACCCAATTCCAAAGAAGAAGAAGAAGAAGAAGAAGAATGTATTGTACCTACCCTGACAGTCATTCTGAATGCAGGTTGTGGGTAATGAAAAGTTCCAATTGGAATTACACACCAATTTGCAACCGGCATAATGTGACTTGAAGGCCTGATGTGGCCTGTAGACCTAGAGTTTCCTAACACAACTGTGTAAGAATATATAACTAGGACCTCAAAGAAAGGCCTTATGATGTACAGTATGTAATATACTGTTATGAAGAGTTACATTTTAAAGGCTAATAAGGCTGGTTGAAACCTTCATAGAGGGTTCTAGGAAGAAACCTTAGAGGATAAAAGGGTTCTAGGCAGAACCCTTCATAGAGGGTTCTATTTAGAACCCTATGCAAAGGGTTCTACCTTGCACCAAAAAGGGTACCCTAAGGGGACAAACCGAAGAACACTTTATGGTTCTACTTAGCACCTTTTTTTCTAAGGGTGTAGCTTCATGTGTTACAAATGTGGTCAAATACATTGGCACCCTTGCATTTTAAAATGTGCAATGGAGCAGAATGTTCTGTTTTCTCTTTTCAAAACTGGTTCAATGGCTATTTTTACCCTGTAGGCACCTGCAACTTATCACAGGTTAGATCAATTACCAGTAAACAAGAATCACTTGCCTCCAACCACATTCATTTGGACATTTATGACTTTGAAGTGAAAAATCTCAATTTCAGTATAGATTTTTTTTCTTGGTCCTGTGCAGTTTAAAAACAAACAAATACACATGTGAACACTAAATGTTTTTTCAATTTCAACTCATTTTAGAAAACATTTTGAACCACGTTTGGCTTGTTCCCATTGCCTTTCACCTTAACATGTTTGTAGATGTCCACACAGGTTTCCATGGCAATGTTCTTGGAGCAGATGATCTCACAGTGTCGCTGAAGGGCCTCTAGTTGAAAGAATTTTGCTGCAGACAGGAGCTGTGGAAGAGAGGGAAAAGAGAACAGAAACACACACAGTGAGAAGTAGGTTGGACTCTCTGGGTAATGAAATGAGGATGCCATTGGCGATGCCTCTTTAGGTACTTCTTTAAACCTTCATTCTTCAGTATTTTGAATTTGGCACAGGTCTTAGGGCTTCCTGCTTATGCCTGACGTACGATGGATTGATTGACATACACTACATGACCAAAAGTATGTGGACACCTGCTCGTCGAACATCTCATTCCAAAATCATTGGCATTAATATGGAGTTGGTTCCCCATTTGCTGCTATAACAGCTTCCACTCTTCTGAGAAGGCTTTCCACTAGATGTTGGGACATTGCTGCGGGGACTTGCTTCCATTCAGCCACAAGAGCATTAGTAAGGTCGGGCACTGATGTTCGGCGATTAAGCCTGGCTCCTAGTCGGCATTCCAATTCATCCCAAAGGTGTTTGATGGGTTTGAGGTCAGGGCTCTGTGCAGGCATTCTTCCACACCAATCTCGACAAACCATTTCTGTATGGACCTCGCTTTGTGCACAGGGGCAAAGCCATGCTGAAACAGGAAAGGACCTTCCCCAAACTGTTGCCTCAAAGTTGGAAGCGCATAATCGTCTAGAATGCCATTGTATTTCCCTTCACTGGAACTAAGGCCTCCTCCACCAAACTTTACAGTTGGCACTATGCATTGGGGCAGGTAGCGTTCTCCTTGCATCAGGCAAACCCAGATATACACCACTCCAGCCGATGCTTGGCATTGTGCATGGTGATCTTAGGCTTGTGTGCGGCTGCTCGTCCATGGAAACCCATTTCATGAAGTTCCCGAAGAACTGTTCTTGTGCTGACGTTGCTTCCAGAGGTAGTATGGCAACCGAGGACAGATTATTTTTATGTGCTACGCACTTCAGCAGTCCCGTTCTGTGAGCTTGTGTGGCCTACTACTATGCGGCTGATCCGTTGTTGCTCCTAGACATTTCCACTTCACAATATCAGCACGGGGCATCCTATGACGGTGCCACGTTGAAAGTCACTGAGATCTTCAGTAACGCCATTCTACTGCCAATGTTTGTCAATGGAGATTGCATGGCTGTGTGCTCAATTTTATACACCTGTCAGCAACGAGTGTGGCTGAAATAGCCAAATCCACTAATTTGAAGGGGTGTCCACATACTTTTGTATATATATAGTGTATTTTCACCAAGCAAACATGAGCTTATAAAACACATTTCTTGAGGTAATACATGCAAAACAAAATGTAATTTTATAATTTACACGCATAGATAATAATCATGGCACAGTATGTACAGTATGTATGATTTAACGTACCTGCTCTGCCAGTGAAAATTGTAATTGCTTGAGAATTATTGTATGTAAGTATGGATGCATTGTCATTGAAATAAAATATATTTTAAAAATTTTAATTCTTACCTCCATAATCTCAGTATTCCTGATGTGCAAGGACTCAGTGCCTCCACAATACAGGTACTGCATGACCAACTGTAACAGGAAAATGTTGTTATGACTCAGCCCTCTCAACACAATAGGAACAGCCAAAATGAATTACTGGTACTGGTAGGGTAGGGTATACTGTACCTGTTTTGCCATAACAAGAGAGTACTTAAAGAGTACTATTTAATGATTACTGACTTATATACAGTATGTCACACTATAGCATGTCAAAAATCTAGAAAGCTCAGGAGTTTAAAAAAAAATGTTTTGGGTGCTTGAGTAGAGGGTAGTAATCCGCTCTCGATAATGAGCATGACTGCCCCCCTTTGGAGGTTTAAGGTACTATATTGTTGTGGTGCAAATTTACATTTACATTTTAGTCATTTAGCAGACGCTCTTATCCAGAGCGACTTACAGTTAGTGAATACATATATCTTTTTTTATACTGGCCCCCCGTGGGAATCGAACCCACAACCCTGGCATTGCAAACGCCATGCTCTATCAACGCTACATCCCTGCCGGCCATTCCCTCCCCTACCCTGGACGAATTGTGCGCCGCCCCATTGGTCTCCCGGTTGCGGCCGGCTACAGCAGAGCCTGGATTCGAACCAGGATCTCTAGTGGCACAGTTAGCCTTAGACCACTGCGCCACTCAGGAGTTTACAAATCCCAGTTGAACTATTAACACATTACTATTAACCCATTTACTGGAACCTAGTTACAGTAGTACATACAGTAGACTACCTGGAATATGTTGTACTTGACATGACTGATCTCAATGCAGGTGTTCTCTGCTGCCGGTCTGTTTTGGAGCAGGGATTTAAACCTGGATGAAATAATTAAAGAAAGGTGGGGAAGACAGGGTGTCAGAAAACAAAAGGAGCATGTCGTAGTTTGCATTAGTGACATGTGACTAGTGGTGTAGTGGAGGGTAAACACCTTCTTTTATTTTGCAGAAAAATGCATTGATAGTATACTTTACTTTACTCACTGCCAATGGCGATCAGCGTTTACCCACCAAATTTTGTTCACCACTACCTCACTGCATGTGACATGTCTTTGTCACTCTTATGAACAGATATAACCTAACATGCACGGGGGGGAAAACAAAATAATTGATTTATAACCACCTCTGACATTTCTTTGTTCGAAAAAATAGTTTGGGGCATTCTAATTGTTCAAGCATTCTTTTTCTCTATTTTTTTTATAAAATGTTTCATTGTTCAATTCCAACATCCAAGTATTTCACAGATTATCATGTTCAAGCGTAATTTTTTATCAATGACTCAATTTCTTAGCTTTCCGTGGCTCACCTGGCAGAAGCAGTAAATAACAGGACTTTATGTGCATAGAAAGGTTTTCCTTCCACCAGGAACGTTACATCAGACATCTCCTTGTTGTTGAGGAAGTGGGGGTCTGAAAGAAGTGAATGATAATTACTATATTTATCCACTTCTAACACTGTGTTATATTTATCTCTATTGTCACTTAGTTTGTGTTTAATAAAGAAAATGTAGAGACATTGTGAAATAAACTTGACTTGTGTATTCAGCCATCTTGATTACTTGTCCACTTTGACCTGCATGTGACCTTTTGTAAATGACTCAAAATGGCATAGGCTGGACAGATATGCTAGCTGGATACTTAAATGGCATCCCATGTAATATCCCGTAGAGAGAATTCTAAACGTAAGCATTGCTGACTAAGCATCTCTATGACCACAAAGCTTTACTGGATTGAAGCCTCCTGTATTCATATGAATCTGACAGAGGGTACGGTAATATCAGCTACTGAGCTACTCAGCTATAGCATGCAGCTTTGGTAGCAACCTAATGAAGCTATTTAGCAAACTGTTATCAAATGGAATAATTCCGCCCATCTCATTACTGTTCCAAAAGGCATCTTAATTCTTCATCGTCAAAGCAAGCTTTCATTTATTTATGACACCCCCAGGGCCTTCATAAGTGCAATTGTGAAATGCTGACAGCTATTAACAACGCTGAACATATTAGATCAAGGGCTAGGAATTAGAACACATCAACACCAGCCCATCAATAATTCAAAATCTTTTTGCGCTCACATTTGCACTCTAGATGGTGCTAGAGACACACACACAAAGTTGTGAAATACAACTTCAACTGCTAACATATAGCAGAACATTCCTTTTCAATCTCTAGTTTTCAAGCTTCCATTTCATACTACACTGTTGATGATGAAGATAAGTTATTATTGCAATTTATCCTCCATCCCATCACATTTAAGTACATTTCAGAGGCACCACAAACACAAAGAGGGAGGCAAGTAACGGCTGCTTCTGCTGCCTCTCTGAACATGCATGGCATGGGTGCAAACTGATTCAACCAAGGACCAACACATTTCTTGCTCACCGAGTCGCGAGGTCTGCTTCCTCTTGATTTCAGTGAGCTTGGGGATAGGGAAGGGCCCATAGCACTGGGTGAAAATCACAGACAGCTGCTGGCTGATCACCTCATTCTGCAGGCCAGGCAAAGTAGGAGATAAGAGGACATCAATGGAAATGGGAAACGTATGGAGAAAAAGCCATTTACTTATTGCTGTAAGAAGAGGGATTACACAAGGGCCATAGAGGTGAATGTTTTGCAATTCATGGATGAATATAATGATACAGATTGAATAATACATTTTATTGCTTAAGAGCTTTTACTAAAACTCAAAGCTGCTAAATACAGTTGAAGTCGGAAGTTTACATACACCTTAGCCAAATACATGTAAACTCAGTTTTTCACAATTCCTGACATTTAATCCTAGTAAAAATTCCCTGTTGTAGGTCAGTTACGATCACCACTTTATGTTAAGAATGTGAAATGTCAGAATAATAGTAGAGAGAATGATTTATTTCAGCTTTTTATTTCTTTCATGACATTCCCAGTGGGTCAGAAGTTTACATACACTCAATTAGTATTTGGTAGCATTGCCTTTAAATTGTTTAACTTGGGTCAAACGTTTCAGGTAGCCTTCCACAAGCTTCCCACAATAAGTTGGGTGAATTTTGGCACATTCCTCCTGACAGAGCTGGTGTAACTGAGTCAGGTTTGTAGGCCTCCTTGCTCGCACACACTTTTTCAGTTCTGCCCACACATTTTCTATAGGATTGAGGTCAGGGGCTTTGAGATGGCCACTCCAATACCTTGACTTTGTAATCCTTACACCATTTTGCTACAACTTTGGAAATTTGCTTGGGGTCATTGTCCATTTGGAAGACCCATTTGCGACCAAGCTTTAACTTCCTGACTGATGTCTTGAGATGTTGCTTCAATATATCCACATCATTTTCCTTCCTCATGATGCCATCTATTTTGTGAAGTGCATCAGTCCCTCCTGCAGCAAAGCACCCCCACAGCATGATGCTACCACCCCCGTGCTTCACGTTTGGGATGGTGTTCTTCGGCTTGCAAGCAACCCCCTTTTTCCTCCAAACATAACGATGGTCATTATGGCCAAACAGTTCTATTTTTGTTTCATCAGACCAGAGGACATTTCTCCAAAAAGTACAATCTTTGTGCAGTTGCAAACCGTAGTCTGGCTTTTTAATGGCGGTTTTGGAGCAGTGGCTTCTTCCTTGCTGAGCGGCCTTTCAGGTTATGTCGATATAGGACTGTGGACTGTGGACATAGATACATTTGTACCTGTTTCCTCCAGCATCCTCTCAAGGTCCTTTGATGTTGTCGCACCAAAGTACGTTAATCTCTAGGAGACAGAACGCGTTTCTTTCCTGAGCGGTATGACGGCTGTGTGGTCCCATGGTGTTTATACTTGCGTACTATTGTTTGTACAGATGAACGTGGTACCTTCAGGCGTTTGGAAATTGCTCCCAAGGATGAACCAGACTTGTGGAGGTCTACCATTTTTTTTCTGAGGTCTTGGCTGATTTCTTTTGATTTTCCCATGATATCAAGCAAAGAGGCACTGAGTTTGAAGGTAGGCCTTGAAATACATCCACAGGTACACCTCCACTTGACTCAAATGATGTCAATTAGCCTATCAGAAGCTTCTAAAGCCATGACATCATTTTCTGGAATTTTTCAAGCTGTTTAAAGGCACAGTCAACTTAGTGTATGTAAACATCTGACCCACTGGAATTGTGATACAGTGAATTATAAGTGAAATAATCTGTCTGTAAACAATTGTTGGAAAAATTACTTGTGTAATGCACAAAGTAGATGTCCTAACCGACTTGCCAAAACTATAGTTTGTTAACAAGAAATTTGTGGAGTGGTTGAAAAAATAGTTTTAATGACTCCAACCTAAGTGTATGTAAACTTCCGACTTCAACTGTACATGGGAAGAAAATATATCAAAAAAGTACATCATACCAAGATGCATATTAAGAAAAGTCAGAAAGTACATGATTGACACAGACTTGCATCAGGACAAGATATTAATTTTTAACAGCACAAAAACTAAAACCACTAGCTGGCAATGTACAGTAAAAAGCAAGTGATTGGTAAGAAAAACAAGAAATGTTAATAAAAACATGTGCCATGAAAGGAGGTAGGGCCCTGAGTTTTTCCTGGCCACGTGACCTACAGGAAAACTCTGAGACTGCACAGAACTACCTGGAATTTTCCTGGTCATATGGGCTCACAACAGAACATGTTTTAAAAACATTTTGGAAACTACAAATGAAAATGAGCGTTTCCTATTGGAAAAGTCCAGGTACTCCTTCCCTGTTTCAGTCCGTTTTCTTCTGTTTGGTCCCTAGTGAACATGACAATGGTGGCCTTAAATTGGGGAGGACACACAATCACATCACCTTGCTGGCGTGGAGGATCTGGAACATAAGTGGCAGTCCGTGGGTGATGAGCTCCTCAGTGTACTCCTCCTCTTGGATGCAACTGAAGTCCTTTAGCAGACCCTGGATCAGTGGACGCCGGTGCTGCAGGAAACAGGTGCGCAGAGACTCCAGCCAAGTGTGCAGAGTCCATGGGACACCTGAGAAGACCAGTGGCAGTGAATAAATAACAAAAAAGTAAATACTGTAGCTGCTAGCTACTACACTAGCAAGAAAAGCAATTAGCTAAAACATGACTGAAGCACTGACCATGTCTTCCTCACTCTATAATTTTACATGTACATTTTAGTCATTTAGCAGACGTTCTTATCCAGAGCGACTTACAGTTAGTAAGTGCATACATTTTCATACTGTTGATGGATGAGCATAAAGTTCAGCTGTTGCTGTCTGTGATGGATATGGGGTGATTGTGCAGTTTTAGCATTGGCCCTCGGTTGTGGATATATTTGGTGGTCTTGTACAGTCCATGGACCCACCTAATCAGTGAATGTCTACTATACTGTATGATGGCAGTGCACTAGCATTAATGTTCGTATCTATGGTGCATGCTTGGAATGGTCACTGTTCCAGGTGGCTGATATCTATGGTGGTTGTGAGGAGTTTTCTCTGTGAGATGATTTGATGGGTGATGATTGCCGTGCGCAGCATGAACACAGCTCCCAGCGGTGGGCGTCTACAGTGAGGCATGTCTGCGTAATGCCGCGTTCACGTGCTAGTCGGAACTAGGAAACTATACATTTTCCGACTTGCTAACTGGTTGAAAGCAGCTCACGTATAACTACAATCAGTTAGCATATCGGAAATTTCAGAGTTTCCTAGTTATGACTACCACGTGAATGCGGCATCAGACCTGGGTCAAATCCATACATCAAATACTTTCAAATAATAATATAATAAATAATATGCCATTTAGCAGACGCTTTTATCCAAAGCGACTTACAGTCATGCGTGCATACATTTTTGTGTATGGGTGGTCCCGGGGTTTGAATCCACTACCTTGGCGTTACAAGCGCCGTGCTCTACCAGCACTTGATGTACACCTGATTAAGGTTCCATTCACTCCATTGTACCAAACCAGTCTAGTGCACTTGAAGTTTTTGAAAGTATTTGACCTACAGTATGTGTTTGGCGCAGGGTGGTGTGTATGTTAACTCTGACCTAAGCTGCGGATGTCTATGGTGATGTCCACATGGCCGTGTTCAGTGCTATGGTACATGGCCTCTCTCAGGGCCCTCAGTTTGGCCTTTCCTGTTCGTTGGAGTGTTCTGATGGTCTGGGGCGGTTTCTTCTCACCGGGCTCCGAGCTCTCGGCCAGGATCTCCTTCAGAGAGAGGACATCACCCTTTTCTTTCTCTGCATGGGACAGAAGCTTCCGGAACACGTTCCTAAAAGGAAGAGGTTTGTAATGTCGGATTTAGTTAAACATAAAAAGTATAACTCACACGCCTAACGTACTACCAGATGCATGGAGAAAAACAGTAAGCTGAGTAGAAAAGAAACCACAGCACACTGGTGATCTTTATGCTCCACATATTTAATGGATCTCTTCACCAATGTTTCGGTCTCAATAGAACTTAATCAGGTACACTCCAGTTTGTTGGAGTTTATTTTCTAGGCTGAGGCTGCGCAACCGGATCAAACGGCCCGTTCCGCCCCTGTCCCACCCTCATCCCGCACTCCAGGGCACCAGAGCTAAACAAACGTATCACATTCTGCACGTCTTAGCTGTCAAACATCATGCAAACACAGGTCAAGTGATCACTACATTATAAACCAAGCTACCTTGGGCATGGAAATGTCAACATTCTCTTCATGTTCAGTCACAAATTATATACTGTAGACTTAATGAGAAGTTTTAAAACATCCTAAAATGAGTTACAATCCCGTTTATTTTTTAAATATTTATTAAATTATTTTTTAGGGTGTAGATCAGCTTTAATATTGCAGATAGATTGTAACTTCCATCAATGTAATTGTCTGCATCACTTCCAATCCCCCATATGTTTTTTCCCGCAAATATACAGTTGAAGTCGGAAGTTTACATACACTTAGGTTTGAGTCATTAAAACTCGTTTTTCAACCACTCCACAAATTTCTTGTTAACAAACTATAGTTTTGGCAAGTTGGTTAGGACATCTCTTTTGTGCATGACACAAGTAATTTTTCCAACAATTGTTTACAGACAGATTATTTCACTTATAATTCACTGTCTCACAATTCCAGTGGGTCAGAAGTTTACATACACTAAATTGACTGTGCCTTTAAACAGCTTGAAAAATTCCAGAAAATGATGTCATGGCTTTAGAAGCTTCTGATAGGCTAATTGACATCATTTGAGTCAATTGGTGGTGTACCTGTGGATGTATCGCAAGGCCTACCTTCAAACGTAGTGCCTCTTTGCTTGACATCATGGGAAAATCAAAAGAAATCAGCCAAGACCTCAGAAAAAAATGGTAGACCTCCACAAGTCTGGTTCAACATTGGGAGCAATTTCCAAATGCCTGAAGGTACCACGTTCATCTGTACAAACAATAGTACGCAAGTATAAACACCATGGGACCACGCAGCCGTCATACCGCTCAGGAAGGAGACGCGTTCTGTCTCCTAGAGATGAACGTACTTTGGTGCGAAAAGTGCAAATCAATCCCAGAACAACATCAAAGGACCTTATGAAGATGCTGGAGGAAACAGGTACAAACGTATCTATATCCATAGTAAAACGAGTCCTATATCGACATAATCTGAAAGGCCGCTAAGCAATAAAGAAGCCACTGCTCCAAAACCGCCATTAAAAAGCCAGACTACGATTTGCAACTGCACATGGGGACAAATATTGCACTTTTTGGAGAAATTTCCTCTGGTCTGATGAAACAAAAATATAACTGTTTGTCCATAATGACCATCATTATGTTTGGAGGAAAAAGGGGGTTGCTTGCAAGCCGAAGAACACCATCCCAACCGTGAAGCACGGGGGTGGCAGCATCATTATATTTGACATTTTAGTCATTTAGCAGACGCTCTTATCCAGAGTGACTTACAGTTAGTGAGTGCATACATTTTTCATACTGCCCCCCCGTGGGAAACAATTCCACAACCCTGGCGTTGCAAGCACCATGCTCTACCAACTGAGCTACAGGGGACATCATGCTGTCGGGGTGCTTTGCTGCAGGAGGGACTGGTGCACTTCACAAAATAGATTGCATCATGAGGAAGGAAAATTATGTGGATATATTGAAGCAACATCTCAAGACATCAGCCAGGAAGTTTAAGATTGGTCGCAAATGGGTCTTCCAAATGGACAATGACCCCAAGCATACTTCCAAAGTTGTGGCAAAATGGCTTAAGGACAACAAAGTCAAGGTATTGGAGTGGCCATCACAAAGCCCTGACCTCAATCCTATGGAACATTTGTGGGCAGAACTGAAAAAGCGTGTGCGAGCAAGGAGGCCTATAAACCTGACTCAGTTACACCAGCTCTGTCAGGAGGAATGGGCCAATCACCCAATTTATTGTGGGAAGCTTGTGGAAGGCTACCCGAAACGTTTAACCCAAGTTAAACAATTTAAAGGCAATGCTACCAAATACTAATTGAGCGTATGTAAACTTCTGACCCACTGGGCATGTCATGAAATAATTAAAAGCTGAAATAAATCATTCTCTCTACTATTGTTCTGACATTTCACATTCTTAAAATAAAGTGGTGATCCTAACTGACCTAAGACAGGGAATTTTTACTAGGATTAAATGTCAGGAATTGTGAAAAACTGAGTTTAAATGTATTTGGCTAAGGTGTATGTAAACTTCCGACTTCAACTCTACATACATATACACATTACATACATATAAATACATATACAGTGCCCTCCACTATTATTGGCACCCCTGTTTAAGATGTGGTCGAGGACTTCCAAAAATTCTCATTTTTTTTAAAACAACATAGAACCCAAATGCAAAAAAGATAAAAATCCAACCTTTTATTTAAGTACATTACTTTGGTGGTAAAAAAAAAAATCACACATTTAGAAAAAAAAAACTTGAAATCATGTGTCCCACAATTATTGGCACCCCTAACAATTCCGCTGAAAATTTTAATTGATTTTTTTTAAATATATTTTTCTGTAGTTGCTAAAGTTGGTCAGGGTATCTAGGAACTTTTAATTTGTAATTCATGACTTCCTGTTTCCCTGGGGTATAAATATGACGTGACACAGAGGCCTAATTCTCTTACCCATTTGTCAACATGGCAAAGACAAGAGAACACACCATTCAAGTAAGGCAGATTTGTGTCGACCTTCATAAGTCAGGCAATGGCTACAAGAAAATAGCCACTCGCCTTAACTTGCCCGTATCTACAGTCAGAGGAATCATTAAGAAGTTTAAAACAACTGGAACAGTGACAAACAAGGTTTGAAGAGGTCCCAAGTTTATCTTGCCACAACGCACAGTGAGGAGGATGGTAAGAGAAGTAAAAAAAAGTCCTAAGCTCACTGTCACAGAATTGCATCAAAGAGTGGCATCTTGGGGTCACAAAGTCTCCAAAACAACCATCAGACTCTCTCTACATGCCAACAAGCTGTTTGGGAGGCATGCAAGGAAAAAGCCTTTTCTCACTAATACTCACAAACGTAAACGTCTGGAGTTTGCTAAGCGGCACTGGGACTTCAACTGGGATCGTGTGCTTTGGTCAGATGAGACTAAGATTGAGCTTTTTGGCAACAAACACTCTAAGTGGGTCTGGCGTAAAACAAATGATGTGTATGCCGAAAAGCACCTCATGCCCACCGTGAAGTATGGTGGAGGATCTGTGATGCTGTGGGCCTGTTTCTCTTCCAAAGGCCCTGGGAACCTTGTTAGGGTGCATGGCATTATGAACGCCTTGAACTACCAGGACATTTTAAATAAAAACTGATGGCCTCTGCCAGAAAGCTGAAGATGGGTCGTCATTGGGTCTTTCAGCAGGATAATGATCCAAAACATGTGGCAAAATCTACACAAAAATGGTTCAGCAGTCACAAACTCAAGGTCCTCCCATGGCCATCTCAGTCCCCAGACCTCAACCCAATCGAAAACCTGTGGGGCGAGCTAAAGAGGAGAGTGCATAAGAGAGGACCCAGGACACTGGATGATCTAGAAAGATTGTGCAAAGAAGAATGGTCAAAGATCCCTCTCTCTGTGTTCTCCAATCTTGTGAAATGTTATAGGAGGAGATTAAGTGCTGTCTTGTTGGCAAAAGGGGGTTGTACAAAGTATTAACATCAGGGGTGCCAATAATTGTGGGACACATGATTTCAAGTTATTTTTTTCCTAAATGTGTGATTTTTTTTTTACCCCAAAGTAATGTACTTAAATAAAAGGTTGGATTTTTCTCTTTTTTTGCATTTGGGTTCTATGTTGTTTAAAAAAAAAGGAGAATTTTTGGAAGTCCTCGACCACATCTTAAACAGGGGTGCCAATAATTGTGGAGGGCACTGTATATACATATATATCTCCTTTTTTAAAATGTATTTTCCTTAATTACTTTCCAACCCCACCACCCCTCCCTTAATTGGTGAACAACAACGCTTAGGCCTCTACTTCCAGCTTATCCATACTATATACATTTTATGGACACTGTCAATTTTCAATAATTCTATTTTGTTCGTTTTTACTCCTGAACTTCCTCTACCCTCAACCTCTCCGATCATTTTCATGATGTCCATCTGTTTTGCTTCTATATGCCATTTCTTTCAAACTGTGCTCTTTCACAAAAGTTCTCAACCTGTAACCTATATACTTATTATGGACACAGTATGTTTTACATTTGTTATTTTGTTGTTATTAGTTGTTATTTGTCCCAACCTTCAGCTCCATTCAACCCCTCCCATCTATCTCTTAACACTATCCATATTGGATTTCTATTTGCCATATATTTTTCAAAAGCACTGTGATGTTTCACAAAAGTTCTGAACCCTTCTATTCTCATTGTTTCTGCAGATTTTAAATTGAAAATAAACATTTTTGCTAAAAGTATTATTATATTATTGATCGATCGATTGACTATGACTTTTCAGATCACCTAGTAGAGCTATCAGCAGGGTTAGCTCCAGGTAAATATTGCAATCCTTCAGCCATTCCTGGACCTGTGACCAAAAACAAGCTACAAATGGACAGTACCAAAACAAATGATCTAATGATGCTGTCTCTTCGCAGCAAAATCTGCAGAGCTGGGAAGATTGTATCCCACATATAAATAACATTCTAATGGTACAATCCTGTTTTAGATGTAAGGTCGGTATGTATGGCCTGTACACTCTTAGAAAAAAAGGTTTCAAAAAGAGTTATTTGCAGAGGGACAAAAAAACATTTTTGTAAGACAAGGGTTCTTTGTAAGACAAAGAGTTCTACCTAGAACCTTTTTCATCCTAAGAACCGCTTTTGGAAGAAATTGTTATTTGATGATTGTTTGGAAGGCAAGAAGGATTCTTTGGAAGGCAAGAAGGGTTCTACATAGAACCCTTCTAAACCCGGGTGGACACTACACGACTTTCAAAGTTGAAACGACTGTCTTTCCTGTAGTTTTTCGTCTTGCCAATATAGCGGTGCACACACTAAATGGTCTGTCACAGACAGAATGTCACACACTACAAGATTCTTCACTTGGTTATGAGGATTCTCGATACCACGCTGTCGCACGAAAACGTAACATGAGTTTGTCACAAGCCGGACAGTGGCAAAACAAAGATGGAGCTTGACAGCGAACAGCAGCTGGAAACACAAGAAGAAGACGCCGAATTTGGGTGAAGCCGTGGTTGGGGAGACGAGGACAGTTTGGGTTGTTTGTTCTGCAGAGAGAGTTGGAGGTAAATAATGCCCAATCAACACAGCTAGCTAGTCTACTAATTTATGTTTTTCATACAGTGCATGTAGTATGTCCTAATATCACTCACATAACCAATAAAAAGTAAAGGACCAAAATCCATGACATTATTTGGCTTGCCATGTTATGGGCCCATTCTATAGAATAAAAAAAATGAAATGTTGTTATTGTGTTGTTGTTATGCTGTAGCACCAACACAAATTCCTATAAATTATTGTTGCATGGCAATATAATTATCTGATTCAGGATATTTAGCTCTAATAGCGCTACATTGTGCTCTGCCTTCACCTATACACCTATAAATCTTTGTTCCAGCTCCCACTTGGCTTTGGTGATAGCAATCGTGTGTACTGTGTCCTCAAAGACCTCCTCAACAAAAAACAAACAAACAAAAACAAAACTACCAAAGGTATGGTTAACTGATTAGCATGCATGAACATTTTCCGTTTCCTATTATGTTCCCTCTGTGTTGTTAAGTGCTCAATTCAAGGCGAAGAGTGGGCAATTGGGGCACACACATTTTAATTTAACTATTTATATGGCCCATTTTAAGAGTTTCAATGACCATGACATTAAAGCCTTTAGCTAACTACATACTTTACAAAGTTATTAAAATGCCTGAAAGTTTCCTATTTGACAGGCTGTTCTTTTGCATGGCATAAAGTAGTCAAAATAAAATAGAAAGCAACCTAGTTATCAAGCTATTTTGCTCACCTGGTTGTTGAAGAGCAGTGGCAATGTCTCTCCAGCTCTCTCTCTTTTTTCAGTCCGGTTGTGGTAAAACTCAGAAGAGACATCGAAAAGGCACTCATGATCTTGCCAAAGTTCCAATAGCCTCCATTCCATCGCTTGTGTCGACATAACTCCCAGCTCTTTTCTTTGAAGCCATGTTTTTTTTTGTTATTGTTTTAATGTTACGCTAGCTACAGTGGGGAAAAAAAGTATTTAGTCAGCCACCAATTGTGCAAGTTCTCCCACTTAAAAAGCTGAGGGAGGCCTGTAATTTTCCTCATAGGTACACGTCAACTATGACAGACAAAATGAGAAGAATTTTTCCAGAAAATCACATTGTAGGATTCTTTATGAATTTATTTGCAAATTATGGTGGAAAATAAGTATTTGGTTAATAACAAAAGTTTCTCAATACTTTGCTATATAACCTTTGTTGACAATGACACAGGTCAAACGTTTTCTGTAAGTCTTCACAAGGTTTTCACACACTGTTGCTGGTATTTTGGCCCATTCCTCCATGCAGATCTCCTCTAGAGCAGTGATGTTTTGGGGCTGTCGCTGGGTAACACGGACTTTCAACTCCCTCCAAAGATTTTCTATGGGGTTGAGATCTGGAGACTGGCTAGGCCACTCCAGGACCTTGAAATGCTTTTTACGAAGCCACTCCTTCGTTGCCCGGGCGGTGTGTTTGGGATCATTGTCATGCTGAAAGACCCAGCCATGTTTCATCTTCAATGCCCTTGCTGAAGGAAGGAGGTTTTCACTCAAAATCTCCCGATACCTGGCCCCATTCATTCTTTCCTTTACACGGATCAGTCGTCCTGGTCCCTTTGCAGAAAAACAGCCCCCAAGCATGATGTTTCCACCCCCATGCTTCACAGTAGGTATGGTGTTCTTTGGATGCAACTCAGCATTCTTTGTCCTCCAAACACGACGAGTTGAGTTTTTACCAAAAAGTTCTATTTTGGTTTCATCTGACCATATGACATTCTCCCAATCCTCTTCTGGATCATCCAAATGTACTCTAGCAAACTTCAGATGGGCCTGGACATTTACTGGCTTAAGCAGGGGGACACGTCTGGCACTGCAGGATTTGAGTCCCTGGCGGCGTAGTGTGTTACTGATGGTAGGCTTTGTTACTTTGGTCCCAGCTCTCTGCAGGTCATTCACTAGGTCCCCCTGTGTGGTTCTGGGATTTTTGCTCACCGTTCTTGTGATCATTTTGACCCCACGGGGTGAGATCTTGCGTGGAGCCCCAGATCGAGGGAGATTATCAGTGGTCTTGTATGTCTTCCATTTCCTAATAATTGCTCCCACAGTTGATCTCTTCAAACCAAGCTGCTTACCTATTGCAGATTCAGTCTTCCCAGCCTGGTGCAGGTCTACAATTTTGTTTCTGGTGTCCTTTGACAGCTCTTTGGTCTTGGCCATAGTGGAGTTTGGAGTTTGACTGTTTGAGGTTGTGGACTGGTGTCTTTTATACTGATAACAAGTTCAAACAGGTGCCATTAATACAGGTAATGAGTGGAGGACAGAGGAGCCTCTTAAAAAACAGGTCTGTGAGAGCCAGAAATCTTGCTTGTTTGTAGGTGACCAAATACCTATTTTCCACCATAATTTGCAAATAAATTCATAACAAATCCAACAATGTGATTTTCTGGAGAAAGAAAATCTCAATTTGTCTGTCATAGTTGACGTGTACCTATGATGAAAATTACAGGCCTCTCTCATATTTTTAAGTGGGAGAACTTGCACAATTTGTGGCTGACTAAATACTTTTTTCCCCCACTGTAGCTTCCACCTCTTCCGTCTGGTTTTGTCACGAGCACTCATTAGCTATTGCTGATCACCATTCTCAAAACTTGTCATTGCACATCACCCACTACAAGAGCATTGCAGATGTGCCGATAAAATTAAACACGTTTGAAAATATCGGGATGTGTGGGACTGCTTAATTATTATTATTATTTTTAAACATTTTATTGAAGACTGATTTTACCAGGTAAGTTGACTGAGAACAAATTCTCATTTACAGCAACGACCTGGGGAATAGTTACAGGGGAGAGGAGGGGGGGATGAATGAGCCAATTGACAGGATCAGTAGCCTTCAGATTGCGTCTCTGAAACACTCACATTAAATTAGTGTTGGTGGAGGCTGCAAGCCCAAGTAGGCAGATTGGTGTGAGAATGTTTTTCACTATACCTATATGGGAATATTTGTGCATGTATCTGGTATTCCCATAATCATTTTACATACAGTGGGGGAAAAAAGTATTTAGTCAGCCACCAATTGTGCAAGTTCTCCCACTTAAAAAGATGAGAGAGGCCTGTAATTTTCATCATAGGTACACGTCAACTATGACAGACAAATTGAGAATTTTTTTTCCAGAAAATCACATTGTAGGATTTTTAATGAATTTATTTGCAAATTATGGTGGAAAAAAAGTATTTGGTCACCTACAAACAAGCAAGATTTCTGGCTCTCACAGACCTGTAACTTCTTCTTTAAGAGGCTCCTCTGTCCTCCACTCGTTACCTGTATTAATGGCACCTGTTTGAACTTGTTATCAGTATAAAAGACACCTGTCCACAACCTCAAACAGTCACACTCCAAACTCCACTATGGCCAAGACCAAAGAGCTGTCAAAGGACACCAGAAACAAAATTGTAGACCTGCACCAGGCTGGGAAGACTGAATCTGCAATAGGTAAGCAGCTTTGTTTGAAGAAATCAACTGTGGGAGCAATTATTAGGATAGGATATGGAAGACATACAAGACCACTGATAATCTCCCTCGATCTGGGGCTCCACGCAAGATCTCACCCCGTGGGGTCAAAATGATCACAAGAACGATGAGCACAAATCCCAGAACCACACGGGGGGACCTAGTGAATGACCTGCAGAGAACTGGGACCAAAGTAACAAAGCCTACCATCAGTAACACACTACGCCGCCAGGGACTCAAATCCTGCAGTGCCAGATGTGTCCCCCTGCTTAAGCCAGTACATGTCCAGGCCCGTCTGAAGTTTGCTAGAGTGCATTTGGATGATCCAGAAGAGGATTGGGAGAATGTCATATGGTCAGATGAAACCAAAATAGAACTTTTTGGTAAAAACTCAATTCGTTGTGTTTGGAGGACAAAGAATGCTGAGTTGCATCCAAAGAGCACCATACCTACTGTGAAGCATGGGGGTGGAAACATCATGCTTTGGGGCTGTTTTTCTGCAAAGGGACCAGGACGACTGATCCGTGTAAAGGAAAGAATGAATGGGGCCAGGTATCGTGAGAGTGAAAACCTCCTTCCATCAGCAAGGGCATTGAAGATGAAACATGGCTGGGTCTTTCAGCATGACAATGATCCCAAACACACCGCCCGGGCAACGAAGGAGTGGCTTCGTAAGAAGCATTTCAAGGTCCTGGAGTGGCTTAGCCAGTCTCCAGATCTCAACCCCATAGAAAATATTTGGAGGGAGTTGAAAGTCCGTGTTGCCCAGCGACAGCCCCAAAACATCACTGCTCTAGAGGAGATCTGCATGGAGGAATGGGCCAAAATACCAGCAACAGTGTGTGAAAACCTTGTGAAGACTTACAGAAAACATTTGACCTGTGTCCTTGCCAACAAAGGGTATATAACAAAGTATTGAGGAACTTTTGTTATTGACCAAATACTTATTTTCCACCATAATTTGCAAATAAATACATTACAATTCCTACAATGTGATTTTCTGGATTTTTTTTTCTCATTTTGTCTGTCATAGTTGACGTGTACCTATGATGAAAATTACAGGCCTCTCTCATCTTTTTAAGTGGGAGAACTTGCACAATTGGTGGCTGACTAAATACTTTTTTCCCCCACTGTATACAGTTGTCATGACTTGCTCTAATGGGCTGAGGATCAAAGATGCCGGCTAGGCAAAGGTTTGAACACCCCCTTTCCTGGGGGCCAGTTTTATGACCGGTCGTAAATTCCTTGCAGAAACTTTATTTTTCGTGCCATGCAGTATTGGGAGAGGGAATTTCCCTGTGAGACAAAGGACGACTTCCCGCCAAGACTCCAACATCCAAAAGTGGATAAAAAAAACAATATTCCTACTTAAAAGAATGTGGGAAATGCTCGGTGGGGACTTAAAGATCATGTCAAATTCGTTACTATGTTGTGATGTCATTAAAGACGGTAGAACAACATAACTGTATCTCTGGGTGGGGGACGATAACAATGTGATTTTAGCATTCTAGATGAGATTATTGTTTCCATATTGATTTGTTCTCAGTCAGTGACCACGCCCAGATGAGCACAAACATGATGAAACACCCCCTTTTCTACTCAAGTATAAAACCCTCCTGACGAAATTCACATCAGACCAAGCATACCACGGTATAAGCCGGATGTTGCAAATGGTTGAATTTCTACAAGACCAAGCAGATTACAGTATAAGCTGGATGTTGTAAATGGTTGAATTTCTACCAGACCAGGAAGCGTGAAGCTGAAGCTACATGTTACAAAATGGTTAGACCAGAAAGACCAGAAAACGTGAGATGTTAGTCCACACGTTTGAAATGGAGGCACTCTGAAACTCTCAACCTCTACACGAGGTGAAGAAGAAGACAATGCACTAGACCTTATCATCTCAGTCTGCAGCTGGCATGTTTAGTCGTCTAGAGAACTTTCACTAAAGCCACGAGTTGGGAGGGACAATCCCTCTCAGACAACCGCTGGTACATCTGAAGTATCTATTCTAACAGATCAACTCTACGAACTACAGGGTATGCTGACCAGAACAAATTATCCAGTTTTACCTAGTGTTGATTTTTCAGTGTAACATTTCTAGTGTTGATTCAAGAGTTAAATTAACTTAATACTCAGTGGTGTAAAATAACCCCAGTTTTGGTGTTAATAACCAGAGTTGAGTGTGACCATAATTTTTACTGTGTACACTGAATAAAATAAAAGTCCCTCTCAACCAGCTTCATGAGGAATGCTTTTCCAACAGTCTTGAAGGAGTTCTCACACATGCTGAGCACTTGTTGGCTGCTTTTCCTTCACTCTGTGGTCTAACTCATCCCAAACCATCTCAGTTGGGTTGAGGTCGGGGGATTGTGGAGGCCAGGCCATCTGATGCAGCACTATATCACTCTCCTTGGTCAAATAGTCCTTACACAGACTGGAGGTGTCGTTTTGGTCATTGTTCTGTTGAAAAACAAATGATAGTCCCACTAAGCGCAAAACAGATGGGATGGCTTATCGCTGCAGAATGCTGTGGTAGCCATGCTGGTTAAGTGTGCCTTGAATTCTAAATAAATCACAGACAGTGTCACCAGCAAAGCAGCCCCACACCATCACAACTCCTCCTACCTGCGGAGATCATCCGTTCACCTACTCTGCGTCTCACAAAGACACGGCAGTTGGAACCAACAATCTCAAATTTCAGACCAAAAGACAGATTTTCACCGGTCTAATGTCCATTGCTTGTATTTCTTGGCCCAAGCCAGTCTCTTCTTCTTCTTGGTGTCCTTTAGCAGTGGTTTCTTTGAAGCAATTCGACCATGAAGGCCTGATTCACGCAGTCTCTTCTGAACAGTTGATGTTGAGATGGGTCTGTGACCTGAACTCTGTGAAGCATTTACTTGTGCTGCAACCTGAGGTGTAGTGAACTCTAATGAACTTATCCTCTGCAGCAGAGGTAACTCTGGGTTTTCCTTTCCTGTGGCGGTCCTTATGAGAGCCACTTTCATCACAGCGCTTGATGGTTTTTGCGACTGCACTTGAAGAAACTTTAAAAGTTATTGAAATTGGACTGTCATTTCTCTTTGCTTATTTGAGCTGTTCTTGCCATAATATGGACTTGGTCTTTTACCAAATAGGGCTATCTTCTGTATACCACCTTGTCACAACACAACTGATTGGCTCATTGTGAAGGAAAGAAATTCCACAAATTAACTTTTAACAAGGCACACCTGTTATTTGAAGTGCATTCCAGGTGACTCCCTCATGAAGTTGGTTGAGAGAATGCCAAAAGTGTGCAAAGCTGTCATCAAGGCACATTTTTTGGTTACAACATGATTCCACATGTGTTATTTCATAGTTTCGATGTCTTCACTATTATTCTACAATGTAGAAAATAGTAAAAATAAAGAAAAACCCTGGAATGAGTAGGTGTGTCCAAACTTTTGACTTTCTTACATTGTCAAGAGACGTCACTTTCCTACCCCCTCCTCCAGGTTTGGTGAATGGACCAACCAGACCCTCAAGACTGCCATGGGCAAGTCCCTTGACTGGTAACAGGAAGGGTGGGAGAACAACCTGAAGGTAATCCTCTTTGCACACAACAGCAGCATTCAGAGTGGTCCTCTGTAGCTCAGCTGGTAGAGCACGGCGCTTGTAACGCCAAGGTAGTGGGTTCGATCCCCGGGACCACCCATACACAAAAAAAATGTATGCACGAATGACTGTAAGTCGCTTTGGATAAAAGCGTCTGCTAAATGGCATATTATTATTATATTATTCAGGCCTCCACCGAGTACGGACAGGAGCCGCAGCTGTTGACTGAGGTAAACGATGCAATTGTATATAGAATTATTGCATATACTGTAGTTTTTCAAATTTGTGATTGACTTAGTGTTGTTGTTTGTCTATTGCTATTTTTGTATAACACTTCTTTCAGATCACTGAAACCCCACCTGATCTGGTGGAAGTTGTCAAACCAGATCAGAACGCCTTCGAGGACCACCTGAAGTCATGGACTGAGAAGGATGTGGAGGTTTTTGACAAGGTAAAAATGATTGCCTGCTGTTAATATGTTTTCTGGCCCTCCAAGAGATATGTAAGAAATGTATTTGTAATATGAAATATAATTGCATTTATTCCTATTATCAATCATGGTGAGACTGAACATTGACAAGGCGCAGGAGAAACAGAAGAAGAGCTACCAGAGCAGAATCATGAAGGGGACCAAGTGCTACAACATCCAGGCAAATTACTTGGTTTGGAAGAAGGACGAAAGGAAGGCGAGACCTAGGAAACCTCGCTGCTCTTTCGCTCCTAGCTGGGGTCACCATCTGTTAAGGTGAATAGAAAACATCTCAGATACAGTGGGGAAAAAAGTATTTAGTCAGCCACCAATTGTGCAAGTTCTCCCACTTAAAAAGATGAGAGAGGCCTGTAATTTTCATCATAGGTACACGTCAACTATGACAGACAAATTGAGAGAAAAAAATCCAGAAAATCACATTTTAGGATTTTTAATGAATTTATTTGCAAATTATGGTGGAAAATAAGTATTTGGTCACCTACAAACAAGCAAGATTTCTGGCTCTCACAGACCTGTAACTTCTTCTTTTAGAGGCTCCTCTGTCCTCCACTCGTTACCTGTATTAATGGCACCTGTTTGAACTTGTTATCAGTATAAAAGACACCTGTCCACAACCTCAAACAGTCACACTCCAAACTCCACTATGGCCAAGACCAAAGAGCTGTCAAAGGACACCAGAATCAAAATTGTAGACCTGCACCAGGCTGGGAAGACTGAATCTGCAATAGGTAAGCAGCTTGGTTTGAAGAAATCAACTGTGGGAGCAATTATTAGGAAATGGAAGACATACAAGACCACTGATAATCTCCCTCGATCTGGGGCTCCACGCAAGATCTCACCTCGTGGGGTCAAAATGATCACAAGAACGATGAGCAAAAATCCCAGAACCACACGGGGGGACCTAGTGAATGACCTGCAGAGAGCTGGGACCAAAGTAACAAAGCCTACCATCAGTAACACACTACGCCGCCAGGGACTCAAATCCTGCAGTGACAGACGTGTCCCCCTGCTTAAGCCAGTACATGTCCAGGCCCGTCTGAAGATTGCTAGAGTGCATTTGGATGATCCAGAAGAGGATTGGGAGAATGTCATATGGTCAGATGAAACCAAAATATAATTTTTGGGTAAAAACTCAACTCGTCGTGTTTGGAGGACAAATAATGCTGAGTTGCATCCAAAGAACACCATACCTACTGTGAAGCATGGGGGTGGAAACATCATGCTTTGGGGCTGTTTTTCTGCAAAGGGACCAGGACGACTGATCCGTGTAAAGGAAAGAATGAATGGGGCCATGTATCGTGAGATTTTGAGTGAAAACCTCCTTCCATCAGCAAGGGCATTGAAGATGAAACGTGGCTGGGTCTTTCAGCATGACAATGATCCCAAACACACCGCCCAGGCAACGAAGGAGTGGCTTCGTAAGAAGCATTTCAAGGTCCTGGAGTGGCCTAGCCAGTCTCCAGAACTCAACCCCATAGAAAATCTTTGGAGGGAGTTGAAAGTCTGTGTTGCCCAGCAACAGCCCTAAAACATCACTGCTCTAGAGGAGATCTGCATGGAGGAATGGGCCAAAATACCAGCAACAGTGTGTGAAAACCTTGTGAAGACTTACAGAAAACGTTTGACCTGTGTCATTGCCAACAAAGGGTATATAACAAAGTATTGAGTAACTTTTGTTATTGACCAAATACTTATTTTCCACGATAATTTGCAAATAAATTCATTAAAAATCCTACAATGTGATTTTCTGGATTTTTTTCCCTCATTTTGTCTGTCATAGTTAACGTGTACCTATGATGAAAATTACAGGCCTCTCTCATCTTTTTAAGTGGGAGAACTTGCACAATTGGTGGCTGACTAAATACTTTTTTCCCCCACTGTAATAACTATTTGCATCTGCACACAAAATAACCTGAAGCTAGTTTTAGTTTCCCTAACACTGATATTGTTCTCTTTGTCTTCCTAGGGTTACCTCGGTGGAAGCCAACAATCTTCTCCAGTTGGAGCAGTTGGACGGTCGACCACTGAAAGCACAAACCATGAAGTGCTTTGAAAGGCTGGTCATGGCTCACATCAACACCATCATGCCGGAAACCATAGACCCACCCTAATTCGCATACCACCCACAGATGACACAATCTCAATCGCACTCCACACTGCCCTTTCCCACCTGGACAAAAAGGAACACCTATGTGAGAATGCTGTTTCATTGACTACAGCTCAGCGTTCAACACCGTAGTGCCCACAAAGCTCATCACTAAGCTAAGGACCCTGGGACTAAACACCTCCCTCTGCAACTGCATCCTGGACTTCCTGACGGGCTGCCCCCAGGTGGTAAAGATAGGCAACAACACATCTGCCACGCTGATCCTCAACACTGGGGCCCCTCAGGGGTGCGTGCTTAGTCCCCTCCTGTACTCCCTGTTCACCCACGATTGCGTGGCCAAGCACGACTCTAACACCATCATTACATTTGCTGACGACACAACAGTGGTAGGCCTGATCACCGACAATGATGAGACAGCCTATAGGGAGGAGGTCAGAGACCTGGCATTGTGGTGCCAGGACAACAACCTCTCCCTCAATGTGAGCAAGATCAAGAAGTTGATGGTGGATTATAGGAAAAGGAGGGCCGAACAGGCCCCCATTGACAACAACGGGTCTGTAGTGGAGCGGGTCGAGAGTTTCAAGTTCCTTGGTGTCCACATCACCAACACACATATCATGGTCCAAACACAATTGTGAAGAGGGTACGACAACAACTTTTCCCCCTCAGGAGACTGAAAAGATTTGGCATGGGTCCCCAGATCCTCAAAAAGTTATACAGCTGCACCATCGAGAGCATCCTGACCGGTTGCATCACCGCCTGGTAGGCAACTGCTCGGCATCTGACCGTAAGGCGCTACAGAGTGTAGTGCGTACGGCCCAGTACATCACTGGGGTCAAGCTTCCTGCCATCCGGGACCTACATAGTAGGCAGTGTCAGAGGAAGGCCCAAAAAATGGTCAAAGACTCCAGTCACCCAAGTCATAGACAGTTCTCTCAGCTACCGCACGGCAAGCGGTACCGGTGTGGCAAGTCTAGGTCCAAAAGGCTCCTTAACAGCCATAAGTCTGCTGAACAATTAATCAAATGGCCACCCGGACTATTTACATTGACCCCCCCCCACTCCCCTTTGTTTTTACACTGCTGCTACATGCTGTTTATTATCTATGCATAGTAATATAATAATAATAATAATATGCCATTTAGCAGACGCTTTTATCCAAAGCGACTTACAGTCATGCGTGCATACATTTTTGTGTATGGGTGGTCCCGGGGATCGAACCCACTACCTTGGCGTTACAAGCGCCGTGCTCTACCAGCTGAGCTACAGAGGACCACAAGTCCTCAACCAACCTGCACATTGACTAGGTGCCGGTACCCCCTGTATATAGCCTCGTTATTGTTATGTAATGTTATTGTGTTACTTTTTTATTTAATATTTTCTTAACTCTATTTCTTGAACTGCATTGTTGGTTAAGGGCTTTTAAGTAAGCATTTCAAGGTAAGGCGAATGTGATGAATCAAATAGGATTTGATTGGTATTAGATTTTCTTTATTGTGTCATAATTTTTTATTACACAAAATGACAGATGTCCGGACCTCTGTGTCCTCATATGTGGTTACGTCCCTGCTTGTGATTTGTGAGTGGTTTAGTGGTTTGATGACGTATTATTTTGTGAAAGGCAGGACAATGGATTCACATTGGATCTGTATTTGATGTCTGGGATAATAATAATGACAGAACCCTGTGAGTTGTATTTAGAATTTCATAGTCACACATTGAGATTCGTTGTTGCAAGTACACATTTTTTTTTCGAAAGCTTGTATCATAATGTGTGAAAAATGTAACAAGGGTTGCAAACGTGTGACTTGACATTTGAATAAATTCAGAATCTCTTTCTAGAAATTTACAGAACTTTCTACAAGCTTAAACATCTCTTGGTAACGTGACAACAGTGACAAAATTCAGAGTATGCGCAGATAAAAAATATGAAAGTGTGTTTTTGATTCCCAGCAGACTATTTATAGTCGTAAATGGACTTGTAATAATTTGGAAAATAAATTATGCTTGCAAATCTTAATGAATGTATTGAAATGTCAAGTTACAAGTTTGTGACTGTTGTAAAAAAAAATCACACCATGACACAAGCTTGCGAAATTAAATTACACATTTGCAAATCGTATTTGCAACCACTAATCTCAATGTGACCACAAAATTCTAAACACAAACTCACAGGGTTCTGTCATCATTATTATCCCATATTGATACAGGGTTGCTGTTTGTGATCTATAAATGTGACGTAAGGCTTTAAGGTGTATGTGTGTGTGTGTGTCTGTGTGTGGCGGTTACTGCCGTTCAAGATTAGGGAGGAAGATAATATTTTTTTAGCATGGCCTTATTTCTATTACAGCATATTGGATGAATGTCATTCATATTCCATTCGCCCAGATCAATGTAACATCGATAGGTTTAGGCTACTAAATGATACTCGAATTTGCCCTATACTCATCATGTGGTTGCTACAACCTAGAACCACCTAGAGTCGATTGACGCGCCCGTGTGTCACATGTGGCATCATTTTGAATACTGAGTAGGTCCGTGTGTGTTTATGCTAGAGGCTTACCGTTTATTGCAGTGGCTGCAGCTCAATTCCCTCTTTCTGCCCATATTCCATAACATGGGGCTTTTTGAAAGCAGTGTTTTCTATACGGAAGATCCGGACAAGAAAATCGTCACGAAATAGTTTGAAAAATCCGAACTGTTTGAGCTAGCAACTCAAACGACCCCATCATCAAAGGAGACATTCACAAACACGACAGTGTCTACGACATCCACAAGCTTTACAGCAGTTGTCTGAACTTTCAGACGCCCATGTCCTAATTTCGAAGACTTCTTCTCATAAAACCGAACCATTCGGCCCTGGCCGAACCATTTGAGCTACCAACATCGACAGGTAAGACTCTCACGAACATTCAGCACTCAATTGTTTTGCGTTATGCAAGCTTCAGGGGAGTTGTTGGAATGTAAGAAAAAATGTCACAAAAGTGAATAGGGTGTAAAAAGTGCCATAACCAAAGTGACTAAATTGGTGTAAAAAAAATAGTTTCCCTATATCTCCTAGATGTAGGACAGACACTTCAAAACCGTATTCTTTATGATAGATTTTTTGACTGTCTGTTTTGCCATTTATTCATTAATGAATAATATATATTTAAAAAATTGAATACCTGTAGGTGACCTAAAATTCTAAATTAAATAGCGAAATGATCCATTGAATGACCATCTTAAAACAATTCCATATGTTAGCTTAGTAGATATCGCGAACCAAGGGCTTAGACGAATTGGAGAAGTCAAGGTGACACAGTAACACATTCAGTACTGCCTTGCACACTCTTGCCTGCATCTAGCTGATCTGGGGTGTAATCATTAAGTCCAAACAGTTGCAAAACAAGAGTTTCTATTGGAAAAATTCAGGTAGGTCTCTCTCCGTTTCGTTCTGATTGCTTCCGACTAAGAAATATTTTCCAACAGAATCAGTGGAATGATCACCCATACACACAGTTCACCTTCATAGCAGCCACACACAGCATCATTACTTTGCTCCTTGTATAACTCCTTATCGCATCTACGCACTCTCCTGCTCTCAGCTTTCCCCTTTGCTTGTGGACTTCAGTGCACAATACAACAGCTGTCTGTGACCAGGCGCAAAAACCTCTCCAAGTCAAACATTCATACCATAACCACTAACCGCTACACAGCCTACATCGTTGTCACCATATTAGCGTGGAACCCCGTATTATCGGCATATTCAACAGCGTTTAAGAAATATATTACCTTCAACAGTGTTATCTTCTGATCAAGCCATCAATGTTATGTGATTATTGGTGTCGTAAAAATGTTAGCTAACGGGTTAGCAATTAGCATGTTTGACATTTCAGTGGAAATACTACTATTATCAGCTTTTTGATAAGCGGTTTAGCAAATAAATACATCCCGTATTATCGGCATACGGTCCCCAGTTATTGGCCACCTTACTATTTTGTTCAATTACAAGATATATCTGTTGAATTTTGTTCAAAAAAGAGACACCAACCACGTACCCGAAGTGTTTACTAGATAGATAGGCGGCAGATAGCTTAGTGGTTAAGAGTGTTGTGCCAGTAACCGAAAGGTCGCTGGTTCTAATCCCCGAGCCGACTAGGTGAAAAATCTGTCGATGTGCCCTTGAGCAAGGCACTTAACCCTAATTGCTCCTGTAAGTCGCTCTGGATAAGAGCGTCTGCAAAATGACTAATTATTTTATTTTAATTTTATTTTTTTATAGTTGCCTAGTTGGCTAGCCTTCCGGTAAAAAATAATGACTTGCCTGTCAACTTTTCATTGCGTAGCCCGGTGCACCCTCCTGTGGACTCTTAAAAAATGGTTCTTCACCAACATATTCAGTGTTGTAACCAAATAATTTGTTTTACAGATTAATGTTATGTTTTGAGAAAGTAGATAACAGTTGAATACTAAAATATGAGTGTTAATAATTTACATCAAATAAAACGTTAATTTCAGTTATGTGCATTGACATAAACAATGAAAACACTGTTGGAGCTTGCGTTGCAGAGGTGCACTTGGAAAGTAAAGGAAGAAATACACAAGATGGATTGAATAAATATATCTATATTATATTTTAGACTTTTTTTGTACAAATAAATAATTTCATATGAACATAAACAAAACAAACAATTAAAACTCGACCTCCATCCATATTTTGTCACAAAAATCACAATAAAAATCCAGCTCCGCCGCTAGCTCTTGATCCCACTTCACACACCTACAGTGGAACCAGTGCAGACAGAAGTCACAGCACACCCATGGCACCTCGGATCTACACTCCTGAGGGGAGCTTGCAGGCGGATCATGCTCCCCGCATCGAGCACAGCAGGTGGTGTCTTCTTTTATAAAAAATAAAATAATAATACAAATTTATTAATATGGTTTTCAAAATGTAGAAGTTCTTCAACAACAATAGTAATTGATACAACTGAGAGAGAGAGAAAAACAGCTTATGAAGTACCCGAGAGTGGTGCCATGGGTGGCGTGACAGACGTGACCGGTGGAGCTTTTCTCTTCCTTTTCTGTGCTGCAGTTTGAGAAAAAGTAGTGTTTGACAGAGCATGTTGCATGAAAACCCTTTTCAACTTTTTTACATCAATACCTCGCTGGAGGAAGCTGCAAAGGTTTTGGAGGAGGTGGAGATGACTTGAGGGCTGGTGCTATGGACTGTAGACAGGTAAAGAGATATATACAGTGGGGAGAACAAGTATTTGATACACTGCCGATTTTGCAGGTTTTCCTACTTACAAAGCATGTAGAGGTCTGTAACAAAATCACATTGTATAATTTTTAAGTATTTAATTTGCATGTTATTGCATGACATAAGTATTTGATACATCAGAAAAGCAGAACTTAATATTTGGTACAGAAACCTTTGTTTGCAATTACAGAGATCATACGTTTCCTGTAGGTCTTGACCAGGTTTGCACACATTGCAGCAGGGATTTTGGCCCACTCCTCCATACAGACCTTCTCCAGATCCTTCAGGTTTCGGGGCTGTTGCTGGGCAATACGGACTTTCAGCTCCCTCCAAAGATTTTCTATTGGGTTCAGGTCTGGAGACTGGCTAGGCCACTCCAGGACCTTGTGATGCTTCTTACGGAGCCACTCCTTAGTTGCCCTGGCTGTGTGTTTCGGGTCGTTGTCATGCTGGAAGACCCAGCCACGACCCATCTTCAATGCTCTTACTGAGGGAAGGAGGTTGTTGGCCAAGATCTCGCGATACATGGCCCCATCCATCCTCCCCTCAATACGGTGCAGTCGTCCTGTCCCCTTTGCAGAAAAGCATCCACAAAGAATGATGTTTCCACCTCCATGCTTCACGGTTGGGATGGTGTTCTTGGGGTTGTACTCATCCTTCTTCTTCCTCCAAACACGACGAGTGGAGTTTAGACCAAAAAGCTCTATTTTTGTCTCATCACACCTCATAACCTTCTCCCATTCCTCCTTTGGATCATCCAGATGGTCATTGGCAAACTTCAGACGGGCCTGGACATGCGCTGGCTTGAGCAGGGGGACCTTGCGTGCGCTGCAGGATTTTAATCCATGATGGCGTAGTGTGTTACTAATGGTTTTCTTTGAGACTGTGGTCCCAGCTCTCTTCAGGTCATTGACCAGGTCCTGCCATGTAGTTCTGGGCTGATCCCTCACCTTCCTCATGATCATTAATGCCCCACGAGGTGAGATCTTGCATGGAGCCCCAGACCGTGGGTGATTGACCGTCATCTTGAACTTCTTCCATTTTCTAATAATTGCACCAACAGTTGTTAACTTCTCACCAAGCTGCTTGCCTATTGTCCTGTAGCCCATCCCAGCCTTGTGCAGGTCTACAATGTTATCCCTGATGTCCTTACACAGCTCTCTGGTCTTGGCCATTGTGGAGAGGTTGAAGTCTGTTTTATTGAGTGTGTGGACGGGTGTCTTTTTATACAGGTAACGAGTTCAAACAGGTGCAGTTAATACTGGTAATGAGTGGAGAACAGGAGGGCTTCTTATAGAAAAACGAACAGGTCTGTGAGAGCCGGAATTCTTACTGGTTGGTAGGTGATCAAATACTTATGTCATGCAATAAAATGCAAATTAATTACTTAAAAATCATACAATGTGATTTTCTGGATTTTTGTTTTAGATTCTGTCTCTCACAGTTGAAGTGTACCTATGATAAAAATTACAGACCTCTACATGCTTTGTAAGTAGGAAAACCTGCAAAATCGGCAGTGTATCAAATACTTGTTTTCCCCACTGTATATATTTTTTTACATTGATGTTTTATAAAACAGATAACAGATTTTCGTAATTTAACATGTGTAAAAAAATTGTATGCACTCACTAACTCTAAGTCACTCTGGATAAGAGCGTCTGCTAAATGACTAAAATGTAAAATGTTTACCTGTGGAGGTGGCGGTATTCAAATTGCAGGGGGCAGGGACACCAGACGAGGCTGCTATGGTGGTGTGATCAGGGGAGATGGAGGAGGCAGTTGGTCCAGGGGAGGCCGTGTTGGTGGTGACAGACGGGGGGGTGGTGTGCATCGTGGTGGTGGTGGACAAAACCGCCGCCGATGGCTTGGAGGAGCTGGTGTTTGTAATGGTGGGGTAGAGGGGCCGACGATGGTGTGGCCGGGAGAGTAGGCACATGGCCTTCATCTGCAGCTGGGGTCTCCGGCAGCTCCTACAGGTGTTGCACACTGGGAGGCACTGGCAGTGCTGATGCAGTTGTCAGGAGTGGTTCCAGCAGGGGGTCCAGCAAAGGCGATGGCGTCCCAGTGTGTAGTGGCCACCGGGGAAACACTTGGGGTATAGATTTGTCTGGGTTTCTCCCTCAACCCACTCTCCTCCAAGTGCTTCTCATAAGAAGTGAAGAAGGTGTCCATCGTCGGACGTGTGGCACACTCAGCTCTCCCCCTGTCCAGGGTGTCCGGCCTCCTCATGCTCAGGTTCTTGTGCCTCCTCCTGAACATTTCCCACCACCTCTTCCCCAGTGGTGGGATTCTTTCCCTTGGGTGCCGAAACCTACAATAGAATAGAATATATAACTGTCCATCCAGGATGAAAATGTTTGTTTTGGCTTCACCATACACATCCACATTTACATCACACACATTGAGAACAGTCAGTCCACCAATCTACATACATAAACACATAGAACACCAAATACCTGCGTATTTTGTCGGCATATTTCATCAGCCTCTGTCTGGTGAAGGGGAACCCATGGCTGGCGCAGTAGATACAGATTTTCATCCTCTGGTGCAAGCAATGTGGGTGGTCCACTGCGACAACCATGGGTCACCCGGCCGCTCAGCCTGTCCGCCAGGGTCTGCCGAGGTACACCATGCACCTAGTTAGATAAGAAAATAAAACTGTTACTAGCAGATATAATTCACATACACATGGTAATCTCCTAAAAACAAAAGATGCCTAACCTTGGCAGCCTGGCGGATAGGCATGCCTGCTCTGCAGTCCTCCATGGCATGGAACATGTCCACCTCACTCCACTGCTTCCTCTTGACTTTCTCCATGCTGTGGTAGTAAATACATGTCGCTAAATAACTTGGCATACTATACACATTTTAGAAAGATAACTAAATCTGAATAAGTATAAACATTTACATTTCAAAGCTAAGGCATTGAAAGGTGATGAAAGTTTTCACAATAACTGAAAGTGTACCCACGTTTTTTGTTTGATGTTATCTGCAATGAAAATTAGTGTCCCAATTAGTTTAATATTGATGCATACATTGTAACATTTGACTAAATACTGCCTCTATGTAGCTGTTGTAAGATGAAACATAGCCAACAGTGATAGGTGTCAAAAAGTTCATGGTTTAAAGTTCCAAATCCATTTTTGCAGATTGTGCAAAAACGCCTCCGTCAGTGGACTCCAATTTTGATACGGTAAAGCTTGACAACATTCAGCTTTTTCCGTGATATGTATTATCTAACGCTTACAATTTCTTTCCTTTTTGCTGTCTTAGCCGTTCTATCAACATTTAGAAACTAAGCTAGCAACATTAGAAAATCCGTTAGCTATATTTCAGAGGTAAAAAGTTGGATATTAAATTATGTGTGGTCTGTCGCGCAGTCGAATTTTACAATATGCAGCTTGTCCCACAAAATGTGTACATATATAACTTTTTTGAAAACTCTCAAAACCTAACTTAACTTACATAAATTGCACTGAAAATCGGTGGTCAGCTAGATAGAAGGGTGTCTTTAGTCGCAAAACTTACCATTATTTTCCAGTCCATTTGAGCTCGAGGTGATTTAGTCCTCCAACCGAGAGTGTTCGAAGTTAGAGGGTGTCCGATGTCAACAAACTAGAACTAACGCATTAGTAAACCAACAATCCGATCGATGTGTACAAGGTTAAATTGGCTGTTGAGTATGGCTGTTGAGTATGCTAAATTGGCTGCATTAGCTAAGTAAGTGAAAGGTACATTAACAAGAAAAAAATGACATCAAAATATATACGCTGCTTCTCCTTCATTTTTGAAGAAATGGATTTGTTCAAAACGGTTCAGCTATTGTCTTTCTCTCTCTTTGAGTCAACTACTCACCACACTTTATGCACTGTAGTGCTACCTATATGTAGTTTATGCTTTCGCTACTAGAGTCATTCTCTTATCCTTTGATTGGGTGGACAAGATGTTAGTTCATACTGCAAGAGCTCTGATAGGATGGAGGACATCCTCCAGAAGTCATCATAATTACTGTGTAAGTTTATGGAAGGGGATGAGAACCATGAGCCTCCTAGGTTTTATATTGAAGTCCCCTGTAGCTCAGTTGGTAGAGCATGGCGCTTGCAACGCCAGGGTTGTGGGTTCGTTTCCCACGGGGAGCCAGTATGAAAATGTATGCAATAACTAACTGTAAGTCGCTCTGGATAAGAGCGTCTGCTAAATGACTAAAATGAAAATGTAATATACCCAGAGGAGGACAGAAATAGCTGCCCTCCGGCTACACCATGGTGCCACCCTAGAGCATGATGTTGAGGCTACTGCAGACCTTCATTGCAAAACATATATTTTTTTCAATCAGTTACAGTGGGGAAAATAAGTATTTAGTCAGCCACCAATTGTGCAAGTTCTCCCACTTAAAAAGATGAGAGAGGCCTGTAATTTTCATCATAGGTACACGTCAACTATGACAGACAAAATGAGAAAAAAAAATACAGAACATTTTTACATTTTAGTCATTTAGCAGACGCTCTTATCCAGAGCGACTTACAGTTAGTGAATACATTTTTTTTTTTATACTGGCCCCCCGTGGGAATCGAACTCACAACCCTGGCGTTGCAAACGCCATGCTCTATCAACTGAGCTACATCCCTGCCGGCCATTCCCTCCCCTACCCTGGACGACACTGGGCCAATTGTGCGACGCCCATGAGTCTCCCGGTCGCGGCCGGCTGCGACAGAGCCTGGATTCGAACCAGGATCTCTAGTGGCACAGTTAGCACTGCGATGCAATGCCTTAGACCACTGCACACTCAGGAGCACACCACTGCGCCACTCAGGAGCACATCATCCTACAAAATCACATTGTAGGATGTTTAATGAATTTATTTGCAAATTATGGTGGAAAATAAGTATTTGGTCAATAACAAAAGTTTCTCAATATCTTGTTATATACCCTTTGTTGGCAATGACACAGGTCAAACGTTTTCTGTAAGTCTTCACAAGGTTTTCACACACTGTTGCTGGTATTTTGGCCCATTCCTCCATGCAGATCTCCTCTAGAGCATTGATGTTTTGGGCCTGTCGCTGGGCAACATGGACTTTCAACTCCCTCCAAATATTTTCTATGGGGTTGAGATCTGGAGACTGGCTAGGCCATTCCAGGACCTTGAAATGCTTCTTACGAAGCCACTCCTTCGTTGCCCGGGCGGTGTGTTTGGGATCATTGTCATGCTGAAAGACCCAGCCACGTTTCATCTTCAATGCCCTTGCTGATGGAAGGAGGTTTTCACTCAAAATCTCACAATACATGGCCCCATTCATTCTTTCCTTTACACGGATCAGTCGTCCTGGTCCCTTTGCAGAAAAACAGCCCCAAATCATGATGTTTCCACCCCCATGCTTCACAGTAGGTATGGTGTTCTTTGGATGCAACTCAGCATTCTTTGTCCTCCAAACACGACGAGTTGAGTTTTTACCAAAAAGTTCTATTTTGGTTTCATCTGACCATATGACATTCTCCCAATCCTCTTCTGGATCATCCAAATGCACTCTAGCAAACTTCAGACGGGCCTGGACATGTACTGGCTTAAGCAGGGGGACACGTCTGGCACTGCAGGATTTGAGTCCCTGGCGGCGTAGTGTGTTATTGATGGTAGGCTTTGTTACTTTGGTCCCAGCTCTCTGCAGGTCATTCACTAGGTTCCCCCGTGTGGTTCTGGGATTTTTGCTCACCGTTCTTGTGATCATTTTGACCCCACAGGGTGAGATCTTGCGTGTTTAGCCCCAGATCGAGGTAGATTATCAGTGTCTTCCATTTCCTAATAATTGCTCCCACAGTTGATTTCTTCAAACCAAGCTGCTTACCTATTGCATATTCAGTCTTCCCAGCCTGGTGCAGGTCTACAATTTTGTTTCTGGTGTCCTTTGACAGCTCTTTGGTCTTGGCCATAGTGGAGTTTGGAGTGTGACTGTTTGAGGTTGTGGACAGGTGTCTTTTATACTGATAACAAGTTCAAACAGGTGCCATTAATAAAGGTAACGAGTGGAGGACAGAGGAGCCTCTTAAAGAAGAAGTTACAGGTCTGTGAGAGCCAGAAATCTTGCTTGTTTGTAGGTGACCAAATACTTATTTTCCACCATAATTTGCAAATAAATTCATAAAAAATCCTACAATGTGATTTTCTGGATTTCTTTTCCTCAATTTGTCTGTCATAGTTGACGTGTACCTATGATGAAAATTACAGGCCTCTCTCATCTTTTTAAGTGGGAGAACTTGCACAATTGGTGGCTGACTAAATACTTTTTTACCCCACTGTATTCGGTGGCCTTAATATATTTAGCACAGTTTTATCTACAAATGCTAACATTTTTCACAAGTTTCACTTTAAAATAAATGAAAAAAAAAAAACACTGAGTAGATGGTTCTCCCCTTCCTCCTCTGAGGAGCCTCCACTGGTGTGAGTGTATGTTACCTGTGGCCATGAGATGCTGCCAGGCTGTATGAGCTCATGTCCCCGGATTGGGCAGATGAGATGCCATTTCTGTACATGGTTCCGGTCATAGGATCCGCCCCTCTCTCCAACAATAGGCTGACCAGCTCAAAGTTCCCTGAGAAGAATGACACGCAACGTTATGAACTCAAATGAACCAGCTCATGATAAAACGAAGAACGATTATAAGCTTGCCAACATGTATTTAGTCATCTGCAGTGACTGGTTACCCCAAACGTTTTACATGAACTAAATCAAAATCACATTTGATTGGTCACATACACATATTAGCAGATGTTATTGCGGGTGTATTGAAATACTTGTGTTCCTAGCAAACACTGCAGTAATTTCTAACAATACACAACAATACAAGTTTAAAAGTAAAAATATTATGACAACCGATGTTGGAGTCCGGCATGTATGTATGTGATGGGAAATGTGTATGTGTGTGTATGTGTGTGTGTATACAGTACCAGTCATAAGTTTGGACACCTACTCATTCCAGGTTTTTCTTTATTTTTACTATTTTCTACAATGTAGAATAATAGTGAAGACATCAAAACTATGAAATAACACATATGGAATGATTTAGTAACCAAATATAAATCCAGATAATCACATTGTATGATTTTTAAGTAATTAATTTGCTTTTTATTGCATGACATAAGTATTTGATACATCAGAAAAGCAGAACTTAATATTTGGTACAGAAACCTTTGTTTGCAAGTACAGAGATCATACGTTTCCTGTAGGTCTTGACCAGGTTTGCAGACACTGCAGCAGGGATTTTGGCCCACTCCTCCATACAGACCTTCTCCAGATCCTTCAGGTTTCGGGGCTGTCGCTGGGCAATACGGACTTTCAGCTCCCTCCAAAGATTTTCTATTGGGTTCAGTTCTGGAGACTGGCTAGGCCACTCCAGGACCTTGAGATGCTTCTTACGGAGCCACTCCTTAGTTGCCCTGGCTGTGTGTTTTCGGTCGTTGTCATGCTGGAAGACCCAGCCACGACCCAACTTCAATGTTCTTACTGAGGTAAGGAGGTTGTTGGCCAAGATCTCGCGATACATGGCCCCTTCCATCCTCCCCTCAATATGGTGCGGTCGTCCTATCCCCTTTGCAGAAAAGCATCCCCAAAGAATGATTTTTCCACCTCCATGCTTCACGGTTGGGATGGTGTTCTTGGGGTTGTACTCATCCTTCTTCTTCTTCCAAACACGGCTAGTGGAGTTTAGACCAAAAAGCTCTATTTTTGTCTCATCAGACCACATGACCTTCTCCCATTCCTCCTCTGGTTCATCCAGATGGTCATTGGCAAACTTCAGACAGGCCTGGACATGCGCTGGCTTGAGCAGGGGGACCTGCCTTGCGCTGCAGGATTTTAATCCATGACGGCGTAATGTGTTACTAATGGTTTTCTTTGAGACTGTGGTCCCAGCTCTCTTCAGGTCATTGACCAGGTCCTGCCATGTAGTTCTGGGCTGATCCCTCACCTTCCTCATGATCATTGATGCCCCACGAGGTGAGATCTTGCATGGAGCCCCAGACCGAGGGTGATTGACCGTCATCTTGAACTTCTTCCATTTTCTAATAATTGCGCCAACAGTTGTTGCCTTCTCACCAAGCTGCTTGCCTATTGTCCTGTAGCCCATCCCAGCCTTGTGCAGGTCTACAATTTTAACCCTGATGTCCTTACACAGCGCTCTGGTCTTGGCCATTGTGGAGAGTTTGGAGTCTGTTTGATTGATTGTGTGGACAGGTGTATTTTATACAGGTAATGAGTTCAAACAGGTGCAGTTAATACAGGTAATGAGGGGAGAACAGGAGGGCTTCTTAAAGAAAAACTAACAGGTCTGTGAGAGCCGGAATTCTTACTGGTTGGTTGGTGATCAAATACTTATGTCATGCAATAAAATGCAAATTAATTACTTAAAAATCATACAATGTGATTTTCTGGATTTTTGTTTTAGATTCCGTCTCTCACAGTTGAAGTGTACCTATGATAAAAATGACAGACCTCTTCATGCTTTGTAAGTAGGATAACCTGCAAAATCGGCAGTGTATCAAATACTTGTTCTCCCCACTATATATATATATACATATATATATTATGGAAATTAATTATGTATCATTAAGTCAAAATGTTGGGAAATGTCAAAGGTAAAATATAGTAAACATGATTGACATTTTTATAATCCAGATGTATGTCTAAATAAGGTATATAGTGTGTAACCCTGCTTTAATCAATGTATGTATATTATTTTTTAAGAAAGTGTCTGAGTCACGCCAGCAATATAAAGAGATAAGGGAAAGAGGCCTCAACTGGAAAGCGTACGTAGCTCTTGTAAGAGTAAACAACATGTGTTATTGGACTTTGAAAGATAACGGTGGCGTGACGGTGAAAGATGTTAATCATTTATCTTAGGGGGAGTAACTGTGTATTCTATGTAAGCATGCCTATGCATTTGTATGTGTATAAAAGGAGATCTTTAAGCCAAGGGCAATCGGGTGTTCCATGGAGCAGCTCGGCTTTGTTACGCAATAATAAAGTATAATTTTTGGATTCACAAGCTCCAGTTTCGTGAGAGATATTTTTGAGTTAACTACTTTTGAATCAAATATTTCTACGACATAAATGGCGAGCGTTGCCAGGAGTTGAAAACAGGTCCAGAGACGGTGGACATCTGCGGTTGTGAAACGGCTTGGACGGACCATACAAACAAAAGTGGCCGCTTTTAAAAAGGTAAGCCAAGTTCTTACTTATATAGTATAAAGTTTGTGTGGTTCGATCCGGGGCCCGGCCTCAGCTGCAGAATACCAAGTAAGTCTCTCCAAATTTAAGAACCAGAAAATATGAGACTGGGAGCTTTTGGATTAAAAAATACATGTTAAGGGATAAAAAATAATAAAAAATAAATAAAATAATAATAATAAAAAGCCTCGAGGGTTGCAATACGTAGAAAATAATAAGCGTAGATCTACTCGGTCCGAGTGGGTGGATGGTGTGTTTGGGTCGGTGTGGTTCATTCATTGTGGTTGGGTAGGGTGAGTTATCTGTTTCATTTGGGTTGATCATTCAGTCAGTGTGATTGCATCCGTTTGACTAATTTGACTGTTTTGTTTGACGTGTCTTGTACCCGTCAAATGTCACTTGGTTTGTTTGTCTGGACCGTCTGTTCAGGTCATCTGATTCATTTGTTCGTCCTGCTGGTTATTCTGTTTAAGCCATTGTGATTCAATTGGTTGTGGTTGGGTTGGATGATTCATCTGTCTCATTCAGGGTGCTCATCTGGATGGTCTGATCGATCTGTTTGATCCAGGCTCTGTCGTAGCCGGCCGCGACCGGGAGACCCATGGGGCGGCACACAATTGGCCCAGCGTCGTCCAGGGTAGGGGAGGGAATGGCCGGCAGGGATGTAGCTCAGTTGGTAGAGCATGGCATTTGTAATGCCAGGGTTGTGGGTTCGATTCCAGTATAAAAAAATTAAAATGTATGCACTCACTAACTGTAAGTCGCTCTGGATAAGAGCGTCTGCTAAATGACTAAAATGTAAAATGTAAAATTTGATTGCTCAATTCGTGCATTCAGTCATCGGGGTCGCTCGGCTGCTCATCTGATGCGTCTGGTCGATTCATTTGATTCATCTTGCTGATCACTTTGTCTGGGTCATTTCGGCACGGGCGGCTGTTTATCTGTTTGAACGATCAGATAATAAATAGGTACAAAGTCCTACAGATACCGCTCTAAAGTAAAAAAGGAAGTGCATCTTTAGAGGGCCGCTTAGGTAGGCAGAAATCGTTTGTACTACCGCTTTTTTCTGTGTCAGAAGAAAGGGCCGAATTTACAGGTCGCTTAGGAAAGCGTAAGATAGAAGTCCAGTAAGGGTGTGTCGAGGAAGTGAATCACCTAGAGGGCTATATATGTAGATAGAAATCCTGTATAAAATCGTATTTCTTGTGTCGGGGAAGTGAATCAGAAAGGGTCGATCAGGTAAAAAGTTAGGTAATCGGGAGTAGGTGACGCCAAAAATTGGAGTTAACACCGGTCATCCTGAGTAGGTGAATGGGTTAAACAGCCACTAAGGCTTCAAAATATAGAGAAAGAGTTAGATAGAGTAGGTCTGATCATCTCATGTGGATGAGTGGTTTGCTTGGGCTACTGTGAGTCATTTAACTGTCTGATTCATTTGGGCACGGGTGGCTACTCATCTGTATGAATGAGAATAATAAGAAATCCTGCAGATGATAGCTTATTTTCTGTGTTGAGGAGAGAAACTGTATTTGAGGTCTTTTGAAGTTTCTGTCTTTGGTTGAGAAAGGTTGGCGCACCTTTCCTGGACTGTTACTTAAGTGTAACCTGGTAGGAAGGATGCACCCGGTCTCGCACCAGGAGAGGAAGAGTGAATGGTGTTTGAATGCTCATAGGGGTAGAAACACACATATAGCTGAGTGATTTAAAGTTAAGAAAAACACTAGCAAGGGAAAGATTCATGAGGTGTTCCACACAAAAGAAAAGTGGACATCAGGAGATATTATATTATTATTACATAAAGAATATAGCTGAGTGATTTAAAGCTAAGAAAAAACACTAGCAAGGGAAAGATTCATGAGGTGTTCCACACAAAAGAAAAGTGGACATCAGGAGATATTATATTATTATTACATAAAGAGACTGTCAAATGCCCATTAATAATAAATACGTTCTGACCAAACAATAATCAAAGAAGCACAAATTGTTTAACAATAAAAAGGGAATACTAATATAAAAGGATTAAGAAGGATAAATAAATAAATAGGACGAATACTAAAATAGATTAAAAAGGAAGTAAAAAATATAGGCCATAAATATGAATGAAACGGCGGTAGAAATACTGAGTGCTAGGTATCCCTTAGGCAAGGAAGAAAACATCTAGAAAATGGGAGAAACGCACCAGGAAAATGGGCACCAAATGGCCAGAAGGAGGAACATTTGATGTATCGGTGTGTGAGGAAATGGAAACACTGATAAAGAACCATAAAGCAAAAGACAGGAAAGAAGGGAAGCGCCAAAAGAAAGAGGGAAAAAGACGTACTCAACATGTTCAAAATGGAAGGAAAATGATTGCTAAAGAACATGTGAGAAGCCAGAAACATGTTGAGAAAAGATGATGAGAAAACAAACAAAAAGAAAGCAGATTGGTCTGTGGGACCTCCACCATACAGTGAGGGGAAAAAGTATTTGATCCCCTGCTGATTTTGTACGTTTGCCCACTGACAAAGAAAGGATCAGTCTATAATTTTAATGGTAGGTTTATTTGAAAAGTGAGAGACAGAATAACAACAACAAAAATCCAGAAAAACGCATGTCAAAAATGTTATAAATTGATTTGCATTTTAATGAGGGAAATAAGTATTTGACCCCCTGTAAATCAGAAAGATTTCTGGCTCCCATGTGTCTTTTATACAGGTAACGAGCTGAGATTAGGAGCACACTCTTAAAGGGAGTGCTCCTAATCTCAGCTTGTTACCTGTATAAAAGACACCTGTCCACAGAAGCAATCAATCAATCAGATTCCAAACTCTCCACCATGGCCAAGACCAAAGAGCTCTCCAAGAATGTCAGGAACAAGATTGTAGACCTACACAAGGCTGGAATGGGCTACAAGACCATCGCTAAGCAGCTTGGTGAGAAGGTGACAACAGCTGGTGCGATTATTCGCAAATGGAAGAAACACAAAATAACTGTCAATCTCCCTCGGCCTGGGGCTCCATGCAATGTCTCACCTCGTGGAGTTGCAATTATCATTAGAACAGTGAGGAATCAGCCCAGAACTACACAGGAGGATCTTGTCAATGATCTCAAGGCAACCGGGACCATAGTCACCAAGAAAACAATTGGTAACACACTACGCCGTGAAGGACTGAAATCCTGCAGCGCCCGCAAGGTCCCCCTGCTCAAGAAAGCACATATACAGGCCCATCTGAAGTTTGCCAATGAACATCTGAATGATTCAGAGGAGAACTGGATAAAAGTGTCATGGATGGGTATTCCAGCATGACAATGGCCCAAAAGACACGGCCAAGGCAACAAAGGAGTGGCTCAAGAAGCAGCACATTAAGGTCCTGGAGTGGCCTAGCCAGTCTCCAGACCTTAATCCCATAGAAAATCTGTGGAGGGAGCTGAAGGTTTGAGTTGCCAAACGTCAGCCTCGAAACCTTAATGACTTGGAGAAGATCTGCAAAGAGGAGTGGGACAAAATCCCTCCTGAGATGTGTGCAAACCTGGTGGCCAACTACAAGAAACGTCTGACCTCTGTGATTGCCAACAAGGGTTTTGCCACCAAGTACTAAGTCATGTTTTGCAGAGGGGTCAAATACTTATTTCCCTCATTAAAATGCAAATCAATTCATAACATTTTTGACATGCATTTTTCTGGATTTTTTTGTTGTTATTCTGTCTCTCACTGTTCAAATAAACCTACCATTAAAATTATAGACTGATCATGTCTTTGTCAGTGGGCAAACGTACAAAATCAGCAGGGGATCAAATACCTTTCCCCCTGTTGGTGGACAATATCCCCAAGTGTCCGGAGTAGTATCAATAAAAGGAGAAATAGAAATGGAAGAAGAAAGACTTTGTTTACATCCTCCCAAAGGATGGAAAAAGACTCAAAGAAAACTGAAGGAATCAAGCGAAGGGCAGAAATCAAGCCAAACAGATTGGACTGCTATGGAGAGCTGAGGGAAGCATTGGGAAGAATGAAAGTGACGAAGAGAGATGATGGAGAACTCTCAGATGAAGAAATGGCAGAAATTGAAGCAACAAACGAACTAATAGAGAAATAAATGGACAGGATGAGGAGAATATTGAGAGAAAAGGAAGATATAGAGAGGGAGCAGAGTGAGGTAAGACAGCGGACAGGCAGAGAGCTAGAGGAGGAAGAAGGAGCAGCAGCTGAAATATGGGGAGATTGCAATCAAGGCGTAAGGGAAGAAAGGTTGCGGAATAGGAGAACATTGAGAAGACCTGAAAAATACAAGGGACAATATCCAATTCTAATAAAAGGTACCCAGGCTCACTATGTTCCGAGATCACAGGACCTGGAAGGATTGGTTGCCCGTCTGCCAGATTTGCATGATGGGGCAGGAAAATGGATAAGAATTTTTGAGGAACAAACCATGGGGAAACTGCTGGCTGTGGGGGATCTGAAGGCAAGGGTGATTAGAAAGGCAAAAATTGAGGATATACTGGGGAACAGTGACCTGAGGAGAGAAGTGAGTGGCCCACAAGGAGATGGGATGGACTTTGATTCACACCGCCCTGAAGTCTGGCGAGCACTGAGACTGGAATATCCGGCAAGAATTGACCCCAAGTCACTGAAAGGGGGGACACTGGGAGAAACTGAGAATCCAGCTGCCTATCTACATGAACAGATGAAACGATGGAGACTGGAGACAGAACGAGATCCAGAGGGGGACCCACTGATGACAACTCTATTCCGAAACTCAATAATAGAGGCCATGCCCCAACCAGTGAGAAGCAGGCTGGAGGATGTGGTGGGACTAACCTCAAAGACAAACAAAGAATTCTGTGACCATGTGATACATGCAGTAGAAAAACACAGAAAGGATGAACAGAGACTTATAAAGCAGGGGAGAGAGATTCAGAGGAAGTTGACTCAACTAAATTTGGAAGAACTGACAAACAGAGGGAAAAAGAAAATCCAGGCCCCAGTAACAGCACCTATGACTAAAACAGGAATGGTGGCTGCAGTCACTCCAGGAGGGCCATATCCGCCTCCTGCACCACAGGCCCAAGTACAACCCACATCACCAGTAGTGAATGTGTATGCACAACAACCCCGACGATGGAATAATAACAATAAACAGCAAAAATCTCAGCAAAACAATCAAAAAGGAGGAAATTGGGGCCCACAAGGGCCACCTGGAATTTGCTGGGGATGCCAACAGCCAGGGCATATCAGACGAAACTGCCTCACAAACCCCTGGCAACAGCAGGGGGGAACAGCAACCAAAATAATTGGAAGCAAACTGACGGCTGGCAACAAAATCAGCAACAAATCCAAGGTCCTGTGAATCCATGGGCAGGGCCTAATCAGGGGTAGTAGGGGTGCCCAGATAATCCTACAGCGGAGGGTCAGTTTTCAGTACTAACTACGCGAGCTTATCAAGAGCCTATGCTGCAGGTTCAAATAGAGAACAGAGGCACACCCATGATGGTCGACACTGGAGCCACTTACACCTGTCTAAGTCCAAATTATGCCTCTCACCTCCCCATGTCTGGCAAATATGCCAAAACTGTAGGATTCTCGGGACAAACACAGTTAATTCCAATGACAGCTCCAGTTCGCCTAATAGCGGATGACAAATCCGCAACCCTTCCTATATTTGTATCACAACACTATGAAAAAATTGGTATACAAATTTGATGTTCCTCTGAAGGGGTAATTGTAGACAAGGCAGGGTTAAACTTACAAATGGTAATGAAGCAGGATACATCAAATGTTTATTGGTTAGGGAATATTGAGACAGATGTAGATAAGGTAGTCAGGAAATGGGGAAGGTTTATTCAGGCTCAGATACCAGAGGCAGAAAGAGGAAAGTCAGAATATCATTGCACCATGCAATATGATCCTTATCGTGATGATCTCTTAGAACAACTGTGGTTGTTAAATGCAAATGGGAAATCGGTACCAATAATGTCTCAGTACATAATTATAGGAAAACAAGGAGCAGCAATGGAGGTGACGGACATGGACGGATCAGACTTTGTGGCAAAATGGTACAATGTTTCTGAAGCTGCCCCACACATTACCTTGCTGGTGAACAAGGGAATGGAGGCAAAGGATTTGGGCCCCATGATGAAGCGAGCAAAAACAATTCAATGGAACAAGACAGATAACCCATTGATTTATCACTCAAAAGATAAAGCTTTCATCAAGATACACCATACCACAGTAATGACTGGGGACCCAAGGGAAGTGGAAGTTACATCCCAACAGCTAGCACAGCTAGGGGAAGCAAAATAATTAGAAATCCAGCACAGAAAGGAAATGGAGAAAAACATACCTCACGAGGTATGGTCACAACATGATACAGATGTTGGATTGGTAAAATCAGCATGTCCTGTGTTCATCAAAACAAAGCCAGATGTCAAGCCCCCTTGGAGGGCTCAATACCATATGAAACCTGAAGCAGAAGAGGGTATCAACGTCACAATCGAAGGACTGATAAAAGCAGGAGTACTGATAGAAACACAAAGTTGTTGTAACACACCTTTATTGCCGGTCCTTAAAGCAGATGGGAGGCTGGTACATGACTTAAGGGCCATAAATGACATAGTACAAGATTGGCCTGCTGATGTTCCAAACCCTCATACGCTACTCACCAATGTTCCCCCAGAAGCCAAGTACTTCACAGTGATTGACCTATGTGGAGCATTTTTTAGTGTGCCCCTGGCAGAAGAGTGCAGACACTTGTTTGCATTTACCTACAAAGGTAAACAGTACACATATACTCGGACGCCACAGGGATTTAAGCATTCTCCGCATGTGTTTAATCAGGTGTTAAGAACAGACCAAGAAGATCTAATACTAGAAGGAACATTGATCCAGTATGTGGATGATCTGTTGATCTGTGCTCCCTCCTTAGAACAATGCCATACTGATTCTATGAAGATTTTAAAGCGAATGGCAGAAGGAGGACACAAGGTGTCAAAAACGAAACTTCAGTACTGCCAATCTCAAGTTGAATATCTAGGAAGAACAATTGCACATGGGACAAAGGCAATAGCCCCAGGACAACTGGAAGGAATCAGCAAGGCACCGCTCCCTCAAACAGTTGCTCAGATGATGACGTTCCTAGGGATGACTGGATTCAGCTCAGACTGGATAGAGGAGTATGCGGTTAAATCTGCTCCTCTGCGAGAAATCATGAAAGAAGCAGGACAACTACACCTTAGAGCAAGCCTGGAATGGAACAGTGATGCATTGACTGCATTTGAAACAATGAAGAAGGAAATGCAGTCAGCTCCGGCACTAGCAGCCCCAGATTACACAAAACCATTCTTGTTGTATGTGGCAAACAGATGTGATAAGTATGCGACGGCGGTACTTATGCAAGAGACGTGCAGTGGAAGACGAAAACAACCCATTGCTTATTATAGTTCTAAACTAGATTCTGTTGCTCAGGGATATCCACCCTGCTATCAAGATTTAGCTGCATTACAATATGCATATGACAAAGCGTCCACAATTACTATGGAATACCCGGTAACAATACATACACACCATAAAATAGTGGAACTGATAGAAAAAGGAAAGTTTGTTCTTACCAATGCTAGAACTTTAGAATAAATGACTCTACTGACCTATCCAGATGTTTCCATTAAACGATGCACAACAATAAATACAGCTGAAAGAATCCCTTTGGAGTTTGAGGGACAAGCACATGACTGTGTAGCAGACTCATTGACATTTACTCGATTAAGACCAGACTTGGAGTCAACCCCATTGTCCAGTGTGGGGGAAGAGTGCATAGAAGAGTATTTTGTGGATGGATCCTGTTATAAGGATCATGTGGGAAATCATGCAGGCTATGCAGTAGTACAAAAGCAAGGAGAAGATTTTAAAGAGGTAATAGCAGAATATTGTCCTCAGCCATGCTCAGCTCAGTTAGCTGAACTAAAAGCACTTACTGCAGCTTGCATCCTGGGAAAACGGAAAACAGTTATTAGCTATACTGATTCAGCATATGCACATGGGGTGTGTCATTTATTTGGGGCAGTCTGGAAGCAGCGAGGGTTCAGGAAAAGCGATGGTACACCCATACAACACCACGAGCAGATTGTGGAATTAATGACGGCGTTAATGTATCCCACTAAATTGCCGATAGTAAAATGTCAGGTGCATAGGAAAGGAAAATAATTTATTACCAAAGGAAACAATGCAGCTGATGAAGCTGCAAGGAAGGCATCTAGATGCACCGTCTCAGTGTTAACAGCACCAATGGTCATTATTGAATCCATAGCACAACCAGACGATATAATAAGGATGCAGGAAAGGGCAGGACCTAATGAACAGACTATGTGGCACCAAAGAGGGGCCACCAAAGATGTAAATGAATTATGGAGGTCTCATGAAGGAACCATAGTAGCACCTAGTGTGTTGCTCAACTTACTGATAACTGATGTGCATGGTTTTGACCATTGCGCAAGGGGGGAGATAATAAGGAAAATTAAAAAGCAAGGATACTGGTCTCCATACCTACAGGCAACAATAGATGAGGCATTAGCAAGATGTAAGGTGTGTGCACAAAACAATGTAATGAAAGGAATAACAACGCCTATAGGGCACATACCAGTTCCTGAAGGACAATTTCGATATTTAGTCATGGACTATGTAGATATGATAAAAAAGGTGAATGGCAAAAGGTACATGCTAGTGATCATAGATAGATTCAGTAGATGGGTAGAAGCGGTACCATCAGCAGATCTAGGATCAGGGACAGTAATCAAATTTCTAACTAGTAGAGTAATACCCAGATTTGGAATACCAACAGAAATCAGTTCAGACAATGGATCAGCATTTATTCAGAAAACAGTGAAGCAAGTACTACAGCAGTTAAGGATCAAGCAAAGACTAGGGTGTGTGTATCATCCGCAATCTCAGGGGATTGTTGAGAGGATTAATGCGAACCTCAAGGCTAAACTGAATAAAATCTGTGCCAGTGCAAAGCTCAATTGGGTGGATGCACTACCACTAGCTTTGATGAGTTATCGCATGCAAACTAACAGAACAACCCTCGTTGGAACAATTAGAGATGGAGCTTAAAGCATATGTAAGACAACTAACTGCTATACATAAAGTGATCTATCTCCAGGAAAAAAGGCGAGAACCGGAACCCGGACCAGAGGAGCCAGGGCCGGTGATTCCAGGAGACCGAGTCTACATCTGAGTGTTTCACAGAAAGTGGAACGAGCCCAGGAGACAAGGACCATACAAGGTGATCCGAGCAACGCCCACGGCGATACAGGTGGAAGGAAGCACGACGTGGTACCATCTGAACCACTGCACCAGGGTCCCGAAGAGAACCGGTCTGCCGTCAGCGAGCCATGAGGAAGCGGAGGATGTCGAGGCACCAGATGGAGTCCAAGAAGAAGAAGCAAGCACGAGTCCAAGTGCCAACGTCGAAGGACAGCAGGCACTCCCTCCTGAAAATCTGGAGAGTCGGGAGGTGGGGCCTGATGATTTGGGGAATACTGCTGATAGGATACCTGTCCTGGCAGATACCCCAAGCACAAGCAAAAACCGAGGTAATGGGGGAACAACAGGTGATGGAGAGGAAAGTGACTTTACTACCACTGAGAGAGGTGACTTCCCCACCATTGAAGAAAGAGACTCCCCTGTCATTGAGGCAAGTGACTTTCCCACAATTGAATTCTCTGCCCTCTCATCGTCCCCGACAATTTAAGAACTGTGGAATTGCTCTAGCGGTAATAGCAGTTAATCTAGGAGAGATGGTAGTGAGTCTGCCTACAACTATACAATATTCTAGAGACAGCCTTACTGAGCCAGGAAGAATTGTTGTTGTGAATAAAGAACAAGTATCATACACAGGATGGCCTAGATTGGGGAAATGTCAGATTGAAGGATATGCAATGTTTAAAATAAAATGCCTAAAAAATAATTGTGTAGAAGTTGAGCTAAAAGGGAATGGACATGGAAAAATGTTGCATATAAAACAAGCCAAACATCTCATGATTTCATCAGTATTTAAGAAATTGGTTCCTGAAGCTAAAATAAGAGATAGAATAAAAAAGCATGTACCTTTGGAAATAGCTCGAACCAGTATTTCTATTCCAGCCCAAGTACTGACAGCTACAGAAACTCAAAAATCATTTTCAATACGAAGGATAAAACCTCTGCCAGAAAAATCACTTTGTGGGTGGGCTAATCATCAAACAAGAGGAGAAGCAATCTGGGATGAATATGGCTGCCAAATAGAAATTAACAAAGGAGACACTAGTTGGGAAATTAGCTTAAAGGAATTGACTCAAGAAAATAATGCAAAGTACATATTGGAAATAGTTAGCACTAAAGGGTCAGAAGGGAATAGTATAACAACAATGGACATTGATCCTATTTCCAAACACCAATCTAGACAGGAAGAAGAACCTGGAATAGTTAATGTAACTATGACCACTACCCAAGGACCACTAATTACTATAGCAGTTGAACCAACAAAGACAGGATTAGAAGAAAAAAAAAGGAACAACTGGGTATGGGATTTTTTTACTAATTGGGAAAATCAGGAAAATAGACAATCTACCTCAGCCCCAACAATAGTACCGGAAATAATGAAAGCACCAACAAAATTAGGAAGGCTATGGGAGGGAGCAATGCAAAATGATTGGTACAAATGGGCAGAATATTCAGCTAAAACAATTAATAGAAAAACGAGTTGTTTAGTATGTGCTCCTTCTCCATTAAAATAATTGATAGTAATACCAAATCCACACAGTTACAAGGAATGTGCTAACTTTAAACGAAGCTATTGTCATCTTAAAAGAGGATAAAGACCCTACTGTCCTGCAGAGTGTTTATCATTTTTGGGAAATCCCTATCATTCCAGATTCTATAATCAACCAGGATGGGGGAGTGGTGTAAAAAATTAGATATGAGAATAGAACCCAGAAAAATGGAAGCACCAGAAAAATATTGTATAGATTATAATCAAGATTATGAATGCTACAACAAAACGGATGGGGAGCATGATTTGGGCAAATTTAAGGGAAAGTGTGAGACCACATGGCACCTAAGTAGTGATAACATGTCCTGGAATGCAGATACCCCCCACAGAGCAGTATATCAGGCAGCAGGATCAAGTACTGGAGTAATCGCTACTAATGGAGGGCCTGGTGAGAAGCAAACACTGGCAATGCCATTAATTTCTCCTTATGAGGATCAATCGGTGGCAGTGGCAGATTTATTTTGGGTATGTGGAGAACAAATAATTAGAGCTACTTTGCCTAGGGGATGGAAGGGAATATGTGCTAGAGTACAAATGCTTCAGGAGGGGGAGGTAGACAAAACAACAAATAGGGACGCACAGAATAGTAATAAAAGGATAAAAAGAGCATATGAACATGACCCCAATGTATATTTAGATGCAATAGGTCAACCCAGAGGAATTCCAAATGAATATAAGGCAAGAGATGAAATTAAAGCAGGATTAGAATCAATATTTGTCTGGATTTCACCCAACAAAAACCTAGAATGGATCAATTATATTTATTATAATCAACATAGGTTTATTAATTACACAGATTCTGCATTATCAGCTTTAGGAGAGCAAGTACAGGCTACTAGTAGAATGGCATGGCAGAATAGGCAGGCTTTAAACTGGCTATTAGCAGAGAAAGGTGGAGTTTGTGTTATGTTTGGAGATTAATGTTGTACTTTTATCCCCAATAACACTGCCCCGGATGGTTCATTCACTGAAGCAATGACTAAGCTCAAAGGACTACGGAAAGAGGTTAAGGACAATGCTGGGCATGATGCTCATGTTTGGGACTGGATGGACTTAACTCTGGGAAAATGGGGTGCAACGCTTACAAAAATGGGAATAATGATAGGTATATAATTAGTAGTGATGGGAATAGTGTTTTGTTGTTTACTACCTCTGTTAAAATCACTTTTGACTCAAACCACAGTAAAACAAATGACTGTACAGACCATTGTTCCTAGTTCAGCCAAAGAAATACACCCAGTTCAGGGAGCTCCAGGACAGTATGTTAATGAATATGGGAAACCTTGTAATGTTAAAGGAGGATCAATGGACTGTCCATTTGGGAATCCTGAATGTCTGTATGGTGTTGTTCCTGGGGGAGGATGGGCCTGCCATGGTTACAAAGCCCAACAGGAAAACTTGGAGGTTAATGTAGAGGAAAACCTTTCAGACTTGTATCCAATACCTGACTGGGCTCTGGGTCCTCATCAGGATGGGTCAAACAATGAGGAAGATATATTGGTTTAAATAAATGCATATAAAATGTAACCACATATGGCAAGGCTAAGAATAAGTAAATGCACAGGCTTACATTCATTTAAAATTAATTTTTGAATTATTGGGACTTTATTGGAAGTCCCAAAGGGGGGAATATATGGAAATAAATGATGTATCATTAAGGCAAAATGTTGGGAAATGTCAAACGTAAAATATAGTAAACATGATTGATATTTTTATAATCCAGATGTATGTCTTAATAAGGAATATAGCCAATACAGTGTGTAACCATGCTTTAATCAATGTATGTAGCGCACGTAGCTCTTGTAAGAGTAAACAACATGTGTTATTGGAATTTGAAAGATAACGGTGGCGTGACGGTGAAAGATGTTAATCATTTATCTTAGGGGGAGTAACTGTATATTCTATGTAAGCATGACTATGCATTTGTATGTGTATAAAAGGAGATCTTTAAGCCAAGGGCAAGCGGGTGTTCCATGGAGCAGATCGGCTTTGTTACGCAATAATAAAGTCTAATTTTTGGATTCACAAGCTCCAGTTTCTTGAGAGATATTTTTGAGTTAACTACTTTTGAATCAAATATTTCTACGACAGTATATGTATGTATATATGTATATAAACAGTTGAAGTCAACAGTTTACATACACCTTAGCCAAATACATTTAAATTCAGTTTTCCACAATTCCTGACATTTAATCCTAGTACTAATTTCCTGTCTTAGGTCAGTTAGGATCACCACTTTATTTTAAGAATGTGAAATGTCAGAATAATAGTAAAGAGAATGTTTTATTTCAGCTTATATTTCTTTCATCACATTCCCAGTGGGTCAGAAGTTTACATAAACTCAGTTAGTATTTGGTAGCATTGCCTTTAAATTGTTTAACTTGGGTCAAACATTTCGGGTAGCCTTCCACAAGCTTCCCACAATAAGTTGGGTGAATTTTGGCCCATTCCTCCTGACAGAGATAGTGTAACTGAGTCAGGTTTGTAGGCCTCCATGCTCACACATGCTTTTTCAGTTCTGCCCACACATTTTCTATAGGATTGAGGTCAGGGCTTTGTGATGGCCACTCCAATACCTTGACTTTGTTGTTCTTAAGCCATTCTGCCACAACTTTGGAAGTATGCTTGGGGTCATTGTCCATTTGGAAGACCCATTTGCGACCAATTTAACTCTTTAACTTCCTGACTGATGTCTTGAGATGTTGCTTCAATATATCCAGATCATTTTCCTTCTTCATGATGCCATCTATTTTGTGAAGTGCACCAGTCCCTCCTGCAGCAAAGCACCCCCACAGCATGATGCTGCCACCCCCGTGCTTCACGGTTGGGATGGTGTTCTTCGGCTTGCAAGCAACCCCCTTTTCCCTCCAAACATAACGATGGTAATTATGGCCAAACAGTTCTATTTTTGTTTCATCAGACAAGAGGACATTTCTCCAAAAAGTACGATCTTTGTCCCCATGAGCAGTTGCAAACCGTAGTCTGGCTTTTTTATGGCGGTTTTTGTGCAGTGGCTTCTTCCTTGCTGAGCGGCCTTTCAGGTTATGTCGATATAGGACTCGTTTTACTGTGGATATAGACACTTTTGTACCTGTTTCCTCCAGCATCTTCACAAGGTCCTTCGCTGTTGTTCTGGGATTGATTTGCACTTTTCGCACCAAAGTACATTCATCTCTAGGAGACAGAACGCGTCTCCATCCTTAGCGGTTGACGACTGCATGGTGTTTATACTTGAGTACTATTGTTTGTACAGATGAACGTGGTACTTTCAGGCGTTTGGAAATTGCTCCCAAGGATGAACTAGACTTGTGGAGGTCTACAATTTTTTTCTGAGATCTTGGCTGATTTATTTTCATTTTCCCATGATGTTAAGCAAAGAGGCACTGAGTTTGAAGGTAAACCTTGAAATACATCCACTGGTACACCTCCAATTGACTCAAATGATGTCAACTAGCCTATCAGAAGCTTCTAAAGCCATGACATCATTTTCTGGATTTTTCCAAGCTGTTTAAAGGCACAGTCAACTTAGTGTATGTAAACTTCTGACCCACTGGAATTGTGATACAGTGAATTATAAGTGAAATAATCTGTCTGTAAACAATTGTTGGAAAAATTACTTGTGTCATGCACAAAGTAGATGTCCTAACTGACTTGCCAAAACTATAGTTTGTTAACAAGACACTTGTGGAGTGGTTGAAAAACAAGTTTTAATGACTCCAACCTAAGTGTATGTAAACTTCCATCTTCAACTGTATATATTAGTACATATGAAGTGGGTAAAACAGTATGCAAATACTATTAAAGTGAGCAGTGTTCCATGTCTATGTACATAGGCAGCATCCTCTAAGGTGCAGGGTTGAGTAACCGGGTGGTAGCTGGCTAGTGACAGTGAGTAAAGTTCAGGGCAGGGTACTGGGTGGGGGCCGGCTAGTGGTGACCATTTAACAGTCTGAAGGCCTTGAGATAGAAGCTGTTTTTCACTCTCTCGGTCCCAGCTTTGATGCACCTGTACTGACCTCCTCTTTTGCATTGTAGCGGGATGAACAGGCCGTGGCTCAGGTGGCTGAGGTCCTTGATGATGTTCTTGGCCTTCCTGTAGATGTCCTGGAGGGCAAGCAGTGTGCCCCCGGTGTTGCGTTGGGCAGACCGCACCACCCTCTGGAGAGCCCTGCGGTTGAGAGGGAGTGCAGTTGCCGTACCAGGCGGTGATCCAGCCCAACAGGATGCTCTCAATGGTGCATCTGTAAAAGTTTGTGAGTGTCTTAGGAGCCAAGCTGAATTTCTTTACCCTCCTGAGGTTGAAGAGGCTCTGTTGTGCCTCGTTCACCATATTGTCAGTGATGTGTATGCTGAGGAACTTGAAGCTTTTCACCTTCTCCGCTGTGGCTGTGTCGGTGTGGATGGGGGTGTGCTCCCTCTGCTGTCTCCTGAAGTCCACAATCAGCTCCTTCATTTTGTTGACGTTGAGGGAGAGGTTATTTACCTGACACCACTCCACCAGGGCCCTCACCTCCTCCCTGTAGGTGGTCTCATCGTTGTTGGTAATCAGGCCTACCACTGTGGTGTCGTCTGCAAACTTGATGATTGAGTTGGAGACGTGTGTGGCCACGCAGTCATGGGTGAACAGGGAGCACAGGAGGAGGCTGAGCACGCACCATTGTGGGACCCCTTTGTTGAGGATCAGCGTAGTGGAGGTGTTATTGCCTACCTTCACCACCTGGGGACAGGCCATCAGGAAGTCCAGGACTCAGTTCCACAGGGCGGGGTTCAGACCCAGGACCCCGAGTGTCACGGTTTCGGCCGAGGCTGCTCCGCCTCCTTGTTCGGGCAGGTTTCGGCGGTCGTCGTCCCCGGAGTACTAGCTGCCACCGATCTATGTTTCCTGTTCGTTTGGTTTTGTCTTGATGTTGTACACCTGTGTCTAGTTAGTCCTAATTAGTGTCCTATTTAGTTCTCGTTGTGTGTGTATGGTGTTGTGTGTGATTGCTCTTCTGTTTTGGTGTTCTGAGCTACGTACTTCCCTCCGTTGTTTGGAGAGGTTTTCGCACATGTTAGTGCGCCTTTTGTTTGACGCCTGTGTGCGCCTTTATTTCGCCTCCGGGCTTATTGTGCTCGCTTACTACGTGAATAATTCACTAAAGTATTTTGGACTTAGCTTCTGCGTCCTGCGCTTGATTCCTGCACCACACCCACCTTCAGCACCCCTGACAGAATCACACACCTTTAATAATGGATTCAGCAGGAGCAACAGTCACGCCTGAGTCGCTGGAGGAGCATGTCCGCGGCCAGGATGACCAGATACGACAACTGGGGACCGCTCTACAGGACGTCATCAACACCCTGCACCGATGGGAGTCCAGAGGGGTACCCACACCTCCACCTACCCTGCCACCCCCATCGGCCGGTCCACCAGTCCCAGGTCCGGAACCCAGTGGGATTCGGCTCTCGCTCCCGAGGGCGTATGACGGAACAGCTGCCGGGTGTCAGGGGTTCCTCCTGCAGGTGGAGCTCTACCTGGCCACTGTACACCCGGTGCCCTCGGGACACGAGAGCGTTTCCGCCCTCATCTCCTGTCTCACGGGCAAGGCGTTGGAATGGGCCAACGCCGAGTGGAGGAGGATGGACACAACCACCATCTCCTACGCCAAGTTCTCCCATCGCTTCAAGGCCGTGTTCGACCATCCACCTGAGGGCAAAGCGGCGGGGGAGCGTCTTATTCCACCTGAGACAGGGGAGGAGGAGCGCACAGGCGTTCGCGCTGGAGTTCCGGACTCTAGCGGCAGACGCAGGGTGGAATGAACGGGCCCTCATCGACCATTTTCGATGTAGCCTACGGGAGGACGTTCAACGTGAGTTGGCCTGCAGGGACACCAATTTCACCTTCGACCAGTTGGTCGATATGTCCATCCGTCTGGACACCCTGCTGGCCACCCGTGGACGTCCCGAGTGGGGTCCGTCCATTCCACCCTCCGGCACCTCCGAGCCGAGCCCTATGGAGCTCGGGGGTGCTGGCGCTAGAGAAAGGAAGAGGAGGAGCCCGAGGGGGCCTGTCCCCTGCACCAAGTGCGGTCGTGGAGGGCACACTGCGGCCAGGTGCTGGGGAGGGTTCCCCGAGGGAGGAGACAACAGGCCACGCACTGGGGAGCCTTCCCAGGTGAGTAGACGCCCCACTTACCCAGAGCTCTCTGTTGCGCACTTTTGTATACTTGTTTGTTTCCCACAGGTTGCACCTCATTCCCAGCATAAGGCGCTAGTAGATTCAGGCGCAGCTGGGAATTTTGTTGATCGGAAGTTTTGTTTAGATTTAGGGATCCCTCTCCTACCTGTTGACAAGCCTTTTCCCATTCATGCTTTAGATAGCCGCCCGTTGGGGTCGGGGTTGATTAGGGAAGTCACAGCGCCACTTAGGATGTGTGCGCAGGGGGGTCATGAGGAGACTATACAGTTGTATCTGATCGACTCTCCTGCGTACCCGGTGGTGCTGGGAATTCCCTGGTTAAGCACCCATAACCCTGCTATTTCGTGGCAACAGAGGGCTCTCAATGGGTGGTCTGCCAGTGTGAGGGGCGATGTCTGGGTGTTTCCGTAGGGGCGACTTCGGTGGAAAGTCCAAACCAAGTGCCCGCACTGCACATTCCGCCAGAATATGGGGATTTAGCTCTCCTGTTTAGTAAAGCTAGTTCGACGCAGTTGCCTCCTCATAGACAGGGGGATTGTGCGATTGATCTCCAGGCAGGAGCAGCGCTCCCACGGAGCCACGTGTATCCCTTGTCTCAAGAGGAGAGAAAAGCTATGGAAACTTACATAGCCAAATCTTTGAGACAGGGATACATACGGCCCTCCACTTCTCCCACCTCCTCAAGCTTCTTTTTTGTGAAGAAAAAAGATGGAGGGTTGCGCCCGTGCATCGATTACCGTGGTCTCAATCAGATTACTGTGAAATACAGTTATCCACTCCCTCTGATTGCGACCATGACGGAGTCATTGCATGGAGCGCGGTTTTTCACAAAACTGGATCTCAGGAGCGCGTATAACTTGGTGCGCATTAGGGAGGGCGACGAATGGAAAACAGCGTTTAGTACCACGTCAGGTCATTTCGAGTATCTCGTCATGCCATATGGGTTGATGAATGCTCCATCAGTCTTCCAATCCTTCGTAGATGACATTTTCCGGGATATGCAGGGGCAAGGGGTGGTCGTGTACATTGATGACATTCTAGTGTACTCGTCTACCCGAGCCGAGCATATAGCCCTGGTGCGTCGTGTATTGAAGAGGCTGTTGGAGCACGACCTATATGTCAAGGCAGAGAAATGTCTGTTTTTCCAGGAGTCGGTCTCCTTTTTGGGCTATCGGTTGTCCGCGTCAGGGGTGAGAATGGAGGTGGATCGTGTGTCAGCTGTGCGTAATTGGCAAACCCCAACCACTGTCAAAGAGGTGCAGCAGTTCTTGGGCTTTGCGAATTACTACCGGAGGTTTATCCGGGGTTTTGGACAGGTGGCAGCTCCCATCACGTCCCTTCTGAAAGGGGGTCCGGTGTGCCTGCAGTGGTCAGCTGATGCGGACAGGGCCTTTAGGAGACTGAAGGACCTGTTTACGTCGGCCCCGGTGCTGGCGCATCCGGACCCCGCATTACCCTTTCAGGTCGAGGTGGACGCGTCTGAGGCCGGTATAGGGGCCGTACTCTCTCAACGGTCCGGCACGCCACCTAAACTCCGCCCCTGTGCTTTTTACTCTAAAAAGCTCAGCCCGGCGGAGCGAAATTATGACGTCGGGGACAGGGAGCTGTTAGCTGTAGTTCAGGCCCTTAAGGTGTGGAGGCATTGGCTTGAGGGGGCTCAACACCCTTTCCTCATTTTGACTGACCATCGGAACCTGGAGTACATCCGGGCAGCGAGGAGACTGAACCCTCGCCAGGCTCGATGGAGCATGTTTCTCGCCAGGTTCGTATTTAAAATCACGTACATCCCTGGGTCCCAGAATGGTAAGGCAGATGCGCTGTCCCGGCGGTATGACACGGAGGAGAGGTCAGTTGAGCCTACTCCCATACTACCGGAGTCTTGTCTTGTGGCACCGGTGGTGTGGGAGGTCGATGCCGAAATCGAGCGAGCGTTGCGTACCGACCCCAGCCCTCCACAGTGTCCTGAGGGTCGGAAGTACGTTCTGCTCGAGATTCGGGATCGACTCATTTACTGGGCTCACACGTCACCCTCCTCTGGACATCCGGGTATTGGCCGGACAGTTCATTGTCTTAGCACTAAATACTGGTGGCCCACGTTAGCCAGGGATGTGAGGGTTTATGTCTCCTCCTGCTCGGTGTGCGCCCAGTGTAAGGCGCCCAGACACCTGCCCAGGGGAAGTTACAACCCCTGCCCGTTCCACAACGACCATGGTCCCACCTCTCGGTGGATTTTGTGACAGACCTTCCCCTCTCTCAGGGGAATACCACCATCCTGGTCGTTGTGGACCGGTTCTCTAAGGCCTGTCGGCTTCTCCCTATGTCGGGTCTTCCTACTGCCCTACAAACCGCAGAGACACTATTTACCCACGTCTTCCGGCATTACGGGGTACCCGAGGATATAGTGTCTGATCGAGGCCCCCAGTTTACCTCCCGAGTATGGAGAGCGTTCATGGAGCGTTTGGGGGTCTCAGTGAGCCTTACCTCAGGGTACCACCCGGAGAGTAACGGGCAGGTAGAACGAGTCAACCAGGATGTGGGTAGGTTTCTGAGGTCGTATTGCCAGGACCGGACTGAGGAGTGGGCTCGGTACATTCCCTGGGCCGAGATGGCCCAGAACTCTCTCCGCCACTCCTCTACCAACCTAACCCCCTTCCAATGTGTGTTAGGTTACCAGCCGGTTCTGGCACCTTGGCAGCAGAGCCAGATCGAGGCCCCTGTGGTGGATGATTGGATGAGGCGCTCGGAAGAGACGTGGAACGCTGCACACGTCCACCTGCAGCGGGCCATCCGTCGTCACAAGGCGAGCGCCGATCTCCACCGCAGTGAGGGGCCGGTGTACGCACCCGGAGATCGAGTCTGGCTCTCTACCAGAAACCTACCCCTCCGCCTGCCCTGCCGGAAGCTGGGTCGGCGGTTTGTGGGGCCCTTTAAAGTCCTGAGAAGATTGAACGAGGTGTATTATAGGTTACATCTGCCTGTTGAATATAAGAATATTAACCCCTCGTTCCATGTGTCTCTTCTCAGGCCGGTGGTAGCTGGTCCACTCCAGGAAGGTGAGATAGGAGAGACTCCTCCGCCCCCACTGGACATCGAGGGGGCTCCGGCGTACACCGTTCGGTCCATCTTGGACTCAAGACGCCGGATGGGGGGTCTCCAATATCTAGTGGAGTGGGAGGGGTACGGCCCGGAGGAGCGGTGCTGGGTGCCGCGGAGGGACATCCTAGACCCATCTCTCCTGTCGGAGTTCCACCGGGACCATCCCGCGCGCCCTGCTCCGCGCCCTCCTGGTCGTCCCCGAGGCCGGGGTCGGCGCGCAGGGGGGGGGTACTGTCACGGTTTCGGCCGAGGCTGCTCCTCCTCCTTGTTCGGGCAGGTTTCGGCGGTCGTCGTCCCCGGAGTACTAGCTGCCACCGATCTATGTTTCCTGTTCGTTTGTTTTTGTCTTGATGTTGTACACCTGTGTCTAGTTAGTCCTCATTAGTGTCCTATTTAGTTCTCGTTGTGTGTGTATGGTGTTGTGTGTGATTGCTCTTCTGTTTTGGTGTTCTGAGCTACGTACTTCCCTCCGTTGTTTGGAGAGGTTTTCGCACATGTTAGTGCTCCTTTTGTTTGACGCCTGTGTGCGCCTTTATTTCGCCTCCGGGCTTATTGTGCTCACTTACTACGTGAATAATTCACTAAAGTCTTTTGGACTTAGCTTCTGCGTCCTGCGCTTGATTCCTGCACCACACCCACCTTCAGCACCCCTGACACCGAGCTTAATGATGAGCTTGGACAGTAATATGGTGTTGAAGGCTGAGCTGTAGTCAATGAACAGCATTCTTACATAGGTATTCCTCTTTTCCAGATGGAATAGGACAATGTGCAGTGCAATGGCAATTGCGACTTCCATGGATCTATTGGGGGGGGTATACAAATTGCAGTGGGTCTAGGGTGTCAGAAGGTGATATGATCCTTAACCAGCCTCTCAAAGCACTTCATGATGACAGAAGTGAGTGCTACGGGGCGATAGTCATTTAGTTCAGTTACCTTCGCTTTCTTGGGTACAGGAACAATGGTGGACACCTTGATGCAAGTGTGGACAGCAGACTGGGATAGGGAGAGATTGAACATGTCCGTAAACACTCCAGCCAGCTGGTCTGCGCATGCTCTGAGGACGGGGCTAGGGATGCCATCTGGGCCGGTAGCCTTGCGAGGGTTAACACGGCGCTGTGTTTTCCTTGAAGCGGTCAAAGAAGGTGTTTAGCTTGTCTGGGAGCAAGACGTCAGTGTCCGCAACAAGGCTCATTTTCCCTTTATAATCCGTGATTGACTGGAGTCCCTGCCACAGATGTCTCGTGTCTGAGCCGTTGAATTGTGACTCCACATTGTCTCTGTGCTGATGTTTTGCCTGTTGATTGCCTTACGGAGGGCATAACTGGACTGTTTTTAGTCAACCATATTCCCAGTCACCTTGCCGTGGTTAAATGCTGTGGTTAAATGTGGTGGTTTGCGCTTTCAGTTTTGTGCTAATGCTGCCACCTATCCACGGTTTTTGGATTAGATCGATTTCAATCGTCACGGTGGGAGCAACATCCCCTATACACCTACTAATGAACTCGGTCACCGTGTCAATGTATACGTTTACGTATATGTTATTCTCAGAGGCAACCAGAACATATACCAGTCTGTGTGATCAAAACAATCTTGAATCATGGATTCCGATTTGTCAGACCAGCTTCGAACAGTCCTTACCATGCGTACTTCATGTTTGAGTTTCTGCCTTTAGGAAGGGAGGAGCAGAATGGAGGCGTGATCTGATTTGCAGAAGGGAGGGTGACTTAGGTCCTTGTAGCCGTCCCGGAAACAATGGTGAACAGTTTTTGATGCGTGAGTAGCACAGGCAATGTTGGTCAAACTTCGGTAGCATTTTCCTCAAACTTACTTTATTAAAGTACCCAGCTACAATAAATGCGGCCTCAGGATATGTGGTTTCCAGTTTGCACAAAATCCAGTCTACTTCCTTGAGAGCCATCGTGGTATCGGCTTGAGGGGGACTTTACACGGCTGTGACGATGACCGAAGAGAATTCTCTCGGATGGTAATGCGGTCTGCATTTGATGATGAGGTATTCTAGGTCGGGTGAACAAAAGGACTTGAGTTCCTGTACGTTACCACAATCACAACATGAGTAATTAATCAAGAAACGTACACATCAGCCTTTCTTTTTCCCGGAGAGTTCTTTATTCCTAGCTGCGTGATGTACTGAGAACCCAGCTGGCTGTATGGATGGGGACAGTATATCCGGAGAGAGCCATGATTCCGTGAAACAGAGTATGTTACAGTCCCTGATGTCTCTCTGGAAGGAGATCCTGGCCCTAATCTCGTCTACTTTATTGTCCAGGGACTGAACATCAGCGAGTAATATACTCAGAAGCTGTGGATGCATGCCTCCTGAGTTGGACTAAAAGTCCACTCTGAATACCTCTGCCGGCGACGTCTTGGAGCAGCCTCGGGGATAAGTGGAATCACCTTGGGGGGTACGAACAAAAGATCCAATTCAGGAAAGTCGTATTTCTGTTCGAAATGCTGGTGATTTAGCGTCGCTCTAATATCCAAAAGTTATTTCCGACTGTATGTAATAATTCAATAATAATAATAATAATAATAATAATAATAATAATATTGCAAAGTTGCTTAGGAGCCAGGAACCAGGCGCCCATGTCTATGGGCTCCATCTTTACCCAAATATTCTATTCACACAATGGCAGGAGTGATGCATGAATCATTTACAATTATTTTCCATATTCACTGACATTTCTGTGTATGCTGATTTCAAGGGTTAATAGGCCCAAATGGCTAAAAGAGAATGAGTAAAAATTGAATGCAGAATGGAATGAGTTATTATGAACCCCTGATGTATTGTCTAGAATACACATCAACAAAAATTTTAAAATGCATCTGATTAGTCTTCATTATGCTTTTCTGGGCAGTATCACGTTGACGTTGTTTCATTAGGCAATCATTACTATTTCTATGGATTTGTGCTCGATGACCGCGTTGTCCAACAGTTACCATGGCAACATATGGCATGGGTTGTTTTCTCAAGGGTCAGGTAGAGCCAAAGGCTCAGGTTCAGAAGCTACAGTAAAATGTATTAAATCGTTTTTTTCCCTCAATCTACACACAATTCCCCATAATGACATAGCAAAAACAGGTTTTTAGAGTATAACTTCCCTGTCAAAATAGAGGTTAAATAAAAATAAATCTCCACACACTATCAATGGAGTATTCCTATTATACACAACAAGTACCTGCAGCAGAGGCCAGCTGCAGCGGGGTCTCAGTGTAGTTATCTTCTCCATCCTGCAGGGCCCCCTCCACACTGGCTCGGCTATCCAGGAGCAACTGTGAGAGGAAGGGATGCCAGGAGGAAGGGAGAGGGGAGTGAGTGAAAGAAACACGTTACTGACAAGTTCAGCAAGGCACATGCCCAAATGCCTCTGTAAAATGACCTCCTCACAGTGGTATTCATTAGAACTATAATAGCCATACTTTTATTCAAGGTATCACTTTTGAGTTGTGGTTTTTCAGCTGAGATTTAGTTTGTTGTCGAGATGCCTGATTTGAGTAAACATTTCCTCTGGTGTACTACAAACAAGAACTGGCTTTCAGCCAGAACCACTTTGTGATTTTTATGCAAAATATATAAAACATCACAACTGTAGAGGACATCACAACATTGTTGAGAAAATCAGCAACCCTGGGGGTGTGTGTATCAGTCTGTGTGAGATTTTGTCTGTTCGCCTGAATGTACTTCACACCTTTGTTTAATTCCATAATAAACTTTAGGCGTGTAAGACATGGCTCAACCTAAAATGCAGTTTAGGCCACTCTCGTTCCATTGTTCTCTACACAGCAAATCTTTCAGTGTTAAATCAACACTGACAGTGTTACATTTAACACTGGTCCAGTGTCTATACGGGTCCACACTTTTCAGTCTTAAATTAACACACTGCTTAGTGTAAATACTTATTTGCATATTTCCCAGAGTGCTTTGCCATTTTGGGCGACCCGACTAAATTCACTTAGAAATGTGTGTTATTCGTATTGAAAGCAAGTCTAAGAAGCGGTAGATTTGTTCTATGCACGCTATTTCTATGCTTCCCGTTCTTAAGTCCTTTACTTTCATTTTTGTACACCAGCTTCAAACAGCTAAAAATGCAATTTTTTGGTTATGGAAAATATATTTCACAGAGGTTTAGATGGTACAATGATTCTCTACACTATAATTACTTGTTTTGTCACAATCTGAAATTAGGCAAACTATTAGAATTTTAGCAACCAGGAAATGGTGGAACAATTTCTGCATAGTGCATCTTTTAAATTATTTAACACAATACAAAACGTATTTCATGAGGCCTTATTTTGAGGGCCTAGTTTTACAGTGACCTGAAATTCATGGTTTATAGGCCACATCAGGCCTGCAAGTCACATTATGCTGGCTTGCAACGGGTTGGAATTGGTGTATTGGAATCCAGTGTAAAAAAAAAAGATGGTTTAACAGTGCGTTATTGTAAAAAAGCACGTCTTAAAACAAAGTTTATTTGGAATTTACAGCAACATACCGAACTTTTTTGTTTTTTATTTTTGTTTTACAGTAACCAGTAAGTCACCGTAAAAATAAGTTACAGTGTAGGTAACACTGGACAATTTTCTGTGTATATACAGTGCATTCGGAAAGTACTCAGACCACTTGACTTTTCCACATTTTGTTACTTTACAGCCTTATTCTAAAATTGATTAAAATACATTAGCTGCTGTCAAGGCAGCAGCTACTCTTCCTGGGGTCCAAAAATATTAAAGCATTACATTACATATAAAACAAAAGATAAAACAGTACATCATATAACATTATTACATGACTACATATCTAAAATACAACATGTTTAATACCACCAAACAACAATATCACAATGTGTGTCTCTTCACAGTCCCTGTTGTTCCATAAGGTGTATTTTTACCTGTTTTTTAAATCTGATTCTACTGCTTGCATCAGTTACCTGATGTGGAATAGAGTTCCATGTAGTCATGGCTCTATGTAGTACTGTGCGCCTCCCATAGTATATTCTGGACTTGGGGACTGTGAAGAGGCCTCTGGTGGCATGTCTTGTGGGGTATGCATGGGTGTCCGAGCTGTGTGCTAACATTTTAAACAGACAGCTCGGTGCTTTTAACATGTCAATACCTCTCACAAATACAAGTAGTGATGAAGTCAATCTCTCTTCCACTTTGAGCCATGAGAGATTGACATGCATATCATTAATGTTAGCTCTCCATGTACTTTTAAGGGCCAGCCCTGCTGCCCTGTTCGGAGCTAACTGCAATTTTACCAAGTCCCTCTTTATGGCACTTGACCACACTACTGAACCGTAGTCTAGGTGCAACAAAACCCGGGCCTGTATGGCCTGCCTTGTTGATAGTGTTGTTAACAAGGCAGAGCAGCGCTTTATTATGGACAGACTTCTCCCCATTTTAGCTATTGTTGCATCAATATGTTTTGACAGTGACAGTTTACAATCCAGGGTTACTCCAAGCAGTTTAGTCACCTCAACTTGCTCAATTTCCACATTATTCATTACGAGATGTAGTTGAGGTTTAGGGTTTAGAGAATGATTTGTCCCAAATACAATGCTTTTAGTTTTTGAAATATTTAGGACTTACTTATTCCTTGTTACACATTCCGAAACTAACTGCAGCTGTTTGTTACATGTTGCAGTTATTTCAGTTGCTGTAGTAGCAGACGTGTATAGTGTTGAGTCATCTGCATACAGAGACACACTGCCATTACTCAATGCCGGTGGCATGTCGTTAGTAAAGATTGAAAGAAGTAAGGGGCCTAAACAGCTACCCTGGGGAATTCCTGATTCTACCTGGATTACGTTTGAGAGGCTTCTATTAAAGAACAACTTCTGTGTTCTGTTAGACAGGTAACTCTTTATCCACATTATAGCAGGGGGTGTAAAGCCATAACACAAGTTTTTCCAGCAGCAGACTATGATCGACAATGTCAAAAGCTGCACATGGCCTCTCCTATCATTGCTACGCTGACGATACACAACTAATCTTCTCCTTTCCCCCTTCTGATAACCAGGTGGCGAATCGCATCTCTGCATGTCTGGCAGACATATCAGTATGGATGTCGGATCACCACCTCAAGCTGAACCCTGGCAAGACGGAGCTGCTCTTCCTCCCGGGGAAGGACTGCCCGTTCCATGATCTCGCCATCACGGTTGACAACTCCGTTGTGTCCTCCTCCCAGAGTGCGAAGAGCCTTGGCGTGACCCTGGACAACACCCTGTCGTTCTCCGCTAACATCAAGGCGGTGACCCGATCCTGCAGGTTCATGCTCTACAACATTCGGAGAGTACGACCCTGCCTTACACAGGAAGCGGCACAGGTCCTAATCCAGGCACTTGTCATCTCCCATCTGGATTACTGCAACTCGCTGTTGGCTGGCCTCCCTGCCTGTGCCATTAAACCCCTACAACTCATCCAGAATGCCGCAGCCCGTCTGGTGTTCAACCTTCCCAAGTTCTCTCACGTCACCCCCCTCCTCCGCACACTCCACTGGCTTCCAGTTGAAGCTCGCATCCGCTACAAGACCATGGTGCTTGCCTATGGAGCAGTGAGGGGAACGGCACCTCTGTACCTTCGGGCTCTGATCAGTCCCTACACCCAAACGAGGGCATTGCGTTCATCCACCTCTGGCCTGCTGGCTCCACTTCCTCTGCGGAAGCATAGTTCCCGCTCAGCCCAGTCAAAACTGTTCGCTGCTCTGGCACCCCAATGGTGGAACAAGCTCCCTCACGACGCCAGGACAGCGGAGTCACTCACCACCTTCCGGAGACATTTGAAACCCCACCTCTTTAAGGAATACCTGGGATAGGATAAAGTAATCCTTCTACCCCCCCCAAAAAAATAAAAAATTGTAAAGTGGTTATCCCACTGGCTATAGGGAGAATGCACCAATTTGTGAGTCGCTCTGGATAAGAGCGTCTGCTAAATGACGTAAATGTGCCCTTGAGCAAGGCACTTAACCCTAATTGCTCCTGTAAGTCACTCTGGATAAGAGCGTCTGCTAAATGACTAAAATGTAAATGTAAATGTAAGTCTAACAAGACAGCCCCCACAATCATTTTATCATCAATTTCTCTCAGCAAATCATCAGTAATTTGTCTAAGTGCTGTGCTTGTTGAGTGTCCTTCCCTATAAGCGTGCTGAAAGTCTGTTGTCAGTTTGTTTACTGTGAAATAGCATTGCACCTGGTCAAACACAATTTTTTCCAGAAGTTTACTAAGGGTTGGTAACAGGCTGATTGTTTGGCTATTTGAGTCAGTAAAGGGGGCTTTACTATTCTTGGGTAGCGGAATTACTTTAGCTTCCCTCCAGGCCTGAGGGCAGACATTTTCCAGTAGGCTTAAATTGAATATGTGGCAAATAGTAGTGGCAATATTGTCCGCTATTATCCTCAGTAATTTTCCATCCAGATAGTCAGACCCCGGTGGCTTGTCATTGTTGATAGACAACAATAATTGTTTCACCTCTTCCAAACTGACTTTACGGAATTGTTGACTTTCATAATTTGGTCAGATATACTTGGATGTGTAGTGTCAGCATTTGTTGCTGGCATGTCATATCAAAGTTTGCTTATCTTGCCAATGAAGAAGTCATTAAAGTGGTTGTCAATGTCAGTGGGTTTTGTGATGAATGAGCCATCTGATTCAATGAATGATGGAGCCGAGTTTGCCTTTTTTCCCAACATTTCATTTAAGGTGCTCAAAGATTATTACTATCATTCTTTATATCATATTTTTTTCATAGTATAGTTTATTTTCATTTAGTTTAGTCACATGATTTCTTAAATTTGCAGTATGTTTGCCAATTATTTGAACTGCCAGACTTATTTGCCATACCTATTGCCTCATTCCTCTCAACCATACAATTTTTTAATTCCTCATCAATCCAAGGGGATTTAACAGTTTTTACAGTCGTTTTCTTAATGGGTGCGTTCTTATTAGTAACTGGAATAAGCAATTTCATAAATGTGTCATGTGCAGCGTTCTGGTTTCTCCTCATTACACACCACAGACCAGCAAATATTGTTTACATCATCAACATATGGATCACTACAAAACGTATTGTATGACCTCTTATACACTATATTAGGTCCAGCCTTTGGAACTTTGGTTTTCCTAGATATAGATACTATATTGTGATCACTACATCCTGTGGATTTGGATACTGCTTTAAAGCAAATTTCTGCAGCTTTAGTAAAGTTGTGATCAATACATGTGCTGTTTGTAAATACCCTGGTAGGTTGACTGACAACCTGAACCAGGTTCCAG